GCCCTTGTTGAAGCATTATAATCAGCATTGTGAGGTAGTTTTGTGAGCATTATATGACGTACATTTTCGGAGCATTATCCGCTGGACCCTAGCAGCGGGCCGAGAACGGATCCCTGTGGCACTGCACTGTGCGTAACTTGACATACTCCCGCCAATAACTACACGCTGATACAGGTCGCTGAGGTAACTAACAAGCCAGGAATTCGCATTGCCTGTCACACCCATGTTGGAGAATTCTTCCAGCAGCAATTTGTGCTTGATGGCATCCTCAGTGCTGTGTCGCTTCCTGTATGCAACCTGAGAAGTAGGGAGGAGATCGTTTCCCGTTATGTATGACATGAGTTGGGGCTTTCACTATAGTTTCTTCAGAAGACGAGAAACAATAGGCAGGAGAGAGATACGCCGATAAGAAGCAGCTTGACCAGGGTCAAGGCTACCACCCTCGAACAAAGGAAACTCATTAGCAAGTTTGAATTGGCGCGGAAATCTGCTCGTCGAGAGCGAAGAGACAGAGCTAATTTTCCTCGGGACTTCGTCAGAACAACACCTGGCAATTTATCATGGCCTGTGGCTTTGGATGAATCAACAGACTACAGTAGGGTCATGACTTTTTCTGTAAGGGCGGGTCGGAATTGGTTGAAGGTATCGGAATCGTTGCATATTGAACTATCCGGAAACAGGCTGGGTGGGCGGCGCCCAGGATCAGATACTAGTACGACTTTCCCAAACGCTGCAGCGAGCACCTCCGCAGCTACCAGAGGCAGTGGTGTTGACTTCGTCCGACCACTGACGGTATTCACAATAATATATGTCACAGCTTTAGAGAGTCTGTCCCAGCAGCCTGCAGATACTGTTTCTTCAGCTTTCTATCCAACTTCCGTGCAACCGCACGAAGTTTCCGGTCATAGGTTATTATTGTTTTGGATTCAACTGTCTACCAATGAAATTGTTGCTCCTTCTCCCAGACTCGCCCTTCTCCTCCTTTCTTCCCCCCCCCCCCCCCTCTCACCACCCCCACATTTCACATCTCTCCAATATTCGGTATCTTGTTACTTTAGTATTGAGATCTCTGCTCGGTTTGTAACAGTTTACACCTGTACTGTAGGTAAATATTTCACACTTCACCATGATTGTACATATCTTCACACTTAGTACCGGTACCTGGCTCCTTCCTAACGCCTATTCCTTCGCACCTCTGCTGTATATAAGCACACTGCTGAACCAATAAAGATTGTCTTTCCATCGCTCAATGTTGACTGGTAACACTGGTAGCAGAGGATGGTTTTCTGTTTTGGGCAGGTACTCTTTCAAGTCTTGGTCATCGGCAACTAACTTCACCGCAAGCGTCTGCAGATTCGTCTTCAGCAGCCTCAAGACCGTTCGAGCGGACACGTATGGACAACAGCTGTTGCCTTCAGGCTCAGCCGCTGCCACTAAGCCCTACAATCATGCCCAGCATGCCGGTTTCACCAGTGAGCTACCTGTTTTCCTTGGGGACGCCAGCGAACTTCGAGAGTCGATATTTTCTATAGAGTGTCAATGCGGTCACTTACCATCCGAGAGCCCTGCAGAATGGTGGACTTTGCAGTGAGCTACCTTGGTGGAAACGCACGGATCTGGTTTATCGCCTCACTAGACGCAGGGCGAACGACATTACGTAGATTCTATGCAGGCTGGCTTTTTCTCAAAGCTGCTCTCGCTGATGCCTATGGGCCATTGCATGACCAAGAACAAGCTCGTCTAAAGCTGTTCAACTCGGCGTAACAGGGCATGATCATGATGGATGATTATAATCATCATGAACTTTTCCCGACTGAGCCTCCTGGTGCCAGAGCTGGACAACCTGTCCAGAGCGATATTGTTCACCAATGGATTACCGTAGCCCTTCCGCTGCAGCAGGTCGTGCTGCAGCAGCAGCAATGAGGGCAATGCGAACGGACGGCACCGGCGAGCCATTATGCTGATTGACTCGGGATCGACGCATGATTTTGCCACTGTGAAGACTTCCTCACCAAGTGGGGTCTGCATTCTCTGCAAGCCCAGTCAACGCAGGAGATTCTCCATGTCACATTAGCAGATGGGACTGACAAACTCCAGCTGAAAACTTCCTAATTTCTTGATGTCAGGCTCGACATTCAACCCACAGTGGTAGCGAGGATATTGTCCCACTCCAGTAATACAAGGCTCAGCTCAGTGACTCCTCCTAATTGTGTTGACGTCTTCATGATGCTTCATTATTGCCTCTTGGGCGTTGTTAGCCACCTTATCAGACAACTTTTAAAAATTATAATTGTTGCTATGCTACCAGGTTCTTCGCAATAACCTTCTCTTGATCTTGTGTTAACTACTTACTTATTGCGACCTCCGCTATTGTTTCAGCTTGTATTAATTCCTTACTTAATATGACTTCCACTTAGTCCTGAGCATGACAGTGAGTTAACGGATCCTGGCGAAATGGTGGACACCTGCGTGTGCAGCCGCAATAAAGGAGAAGGACAAACGCTGGCGGACTTGGAGGAAACCCTCAGGACTTTGCACTGAAACATGAGTTTACTCGTTCTGTAAACAATGCTATTGCAGTCCTGACTAGATTCCGGTTTTCCAAAGAAAACAACCTCCGACATAGCTTGTCCAATGGGTCCCTGAAGGAGAAGGAGTGGAAGGGCGAAGCTAAAGTGCGCTGATGGCGAAGGTCGAAGGTTGCGAGAGGGCCACGAATTATGAGAAATCGGAGGCTTTCGCACTTTCCTTTTCCAACAAATGCAGTGTACAGCGGCTTTCCATCGAATGCCGTATGCGAGTACAGCGATCTCCGTCTGTATCTTCTGTTGCAGTCCTTTCTTGGTGAATTTCGGTGTGATGGCGAATGTTGGGCCTTTTGCTAGAAGCGATACTGCTTGTTCGGATACACTGATATCTCCCACCAGTATACTGACTACAGGTATCTGTGTTACGTTAGGCTCCTGTGTCTCTCAGTGATGTTGCCTGGCATCGAGGTCTGAGGGCTGTTCGGTACGCAGCTTGGTCCTGGTAGTCCTGGAGCTCCGGAGGCTGGTACCGTCTGGCTGTTCTCGGGATTCTGTGAGTCTCTTGAATTTCTGCTTCACTGAGGATGCTTTCCATTTTTGTCTTGCTGGTATAGGCTGCTGCGTGGATCAGATCTTTTAATCACTGGTATTCGTCGCTTCTCCGGTGCATGGATGCCTGCAACTAACTACTTACTTGCTGATCTCTGATTTTGAGGCGTGGATGGCATAGTATTCCGCGCGTTTGAGTTGTCCGAGTATTCATTTTTCGGTTTCACGTTGATATCGTTAAGCCAGGTTCTCGATGGCTGTTGGGAAGCGGATTGGATTGTGTAACGCGGGTGGACATACGCCAGCCGATTTCTGCAGCGCCGAAGAAAGATCACATTCTGCTCCTGATGCTTGAGAAGTTGAGTCTCTCTACTACATCTGCCATCCATTCTGTTGCTTGTCCGCGAGCTGACCGATCGCGGGCCAGTCCAAGGTCAAACACTCTCATTGTAAAATAAAAAAAGTTTTTTTCTTTTTAGACCAAGACTCAAGAGTGGTACACATGATTAACAAAGATACAAATATTTACAATATTTTTCCAGACGTTTCGTTGTTCTGAACAACATCATCAGTGGATATGGAATGGAGGGCTTTGGGCGGTGGCATGAGTTAATAGGGAGTGATGGTGGTGAGATGAGGTGAGAAGGTGGGAAAATACATGTATCTAAGTTGGTGGTGGAGGTTAAGCGCGGGTCGATACACTGGCAGGTGGGAAGGAGTATAAACCCTTAGGGTAGAAGTGTAGGTTGGTAGGTGTTGGTGTGCGTGGAAGGCGGAGTGGCATAACGGAAGTGTGTCGGTTTGATAAAATTTAATGTGAGAGAGAGTTTTATCTAGGTAGGGTGTAACTTGAATCAGCAATAGGTGTGGGTATATGTGATGGGTAGAAGTAGCAAGAGGGTGGGTGTGGGTGTGTATGCGAAAAGAGTAAGGCAATGGGTATTGGCATGCGTGGTAGGTAGAAGTGACGGAAAGTGTGCGCTATGGAGTAAGGGGTGCAGGATTTTTCGGGGTGGTGGTTGGGACTAAACCAGGCCGCTGCCATTCGCTTTTAATAATATAGATCAGCATATACAAGGAGGTGTACGTGTGTGTGTGTGCGCAAGCATTGTGGCAGTGTTGAGTGGGGGGGGGGGGGGGGGGGGGATAAAATACAGCTGCCCGTGGTGGATCCTGGGAGGATGCCCTGATCATGCCGTCAATCCTTCTTCTACACCTTGTCCTCACCCACTTGCTGAGGTGGGATCTTTTCCAAGTCCACCCAGGGTTTGGGGATTTCAGGAGGTGTTGGCTAAGGCTTAATTAAATAGTTGCAACCTTTGCATGGCCGGCATAGTACTAGTATCCTCTAGCTAACGGATATCCGGTTATTTTACTTCGGGATGCATCTTCTCCAGCATACATGCATTTACAACTGAGATCATGAACTCATCTCAGTGTCAAACATCATTTTTGTTTACAAAAACACAATTCAGAGACCTACCGGTATATATAATTATATACATGACATCAAGAGTACATGAACACCGTTTTCATGTACTCTTAATGACATCAAGACGAGGCCTCTACAGCTTCACGGTTAATTATTATCATCCGGACGACGAAGACAGTTTCATCTTCAATGTTGAGACAACAATTCTAGGAACTCCTTTCCACCGTACTGGTCTGGATGAACTTCTAACTAATTACTTCAGGCGCGTGCGCCGGTGCCCTTCAAGGGGGGGGGGGGGAGGGATCCGGGGGCCTCCCCCGGGAAATTTTTCAAAAAATGAAGCACTGAAAATCCTGCATTTTGAGGGAAAAAAGTACTTGCAGCACTTGCTATGTTCTTTTCCAACAATTTTTTCATTGCTATCGAGTACCAGGTTCGGCCTCATTTTCTCTGTGCTGCGCTGCTGAGTCTGTCCACAAAGGACGAAACAGTTCTGTCCACAGATTGTGTAGTCTACATTGTAAACATGTGCCTATGAGTGTAGTTGACCCAGCTATCCTGCAGCTCAAAACTTCAGATCTCCAATGCCACACTACAAGTACATCTGTTGCCATGACATGACTCAGTAACCGAATTCATGCGCTTGCGATTCTCCCAGACCCCATGTCAGATATGACAGAAATACGACAACTACTACGTACGTTCAGAATAAGCACTTTGCAGAACACGGATGTTGGCCCTAAACGGCTATGAACCAGGGTCACAAATCATCACAACGAGCTTAACAGATTAGAAGGTACAAGGCAGTAAGCATAAACAATCTTTGCCTTCAGTTCAGAGATACGATGTACACGCCACGTAAAATATGACAAGTTGAAAAACTAACTCTAAACCAGAGACTACTAGTACATGTGCATCTGCAAGCCGACATAAAAAAAGAGATTAAAAAAGAGATTAAAAAAGGGGGGCCGAAACAACTGACTGATATGAACAAAATTGCCGGGGATCAAAAGTAGATATCAATATCAAGCTAAGAGCTTCTAAAAATCCCCAGCACCAGATCAAGATGCGTTGATCTTCAAGGACATTGCACTTGAGATCTTCAAAAGGCGCTGCATTCAATGTCCCAATAATTCATCCAGGGCTTCATTTAAACTAGCATTCATGCTACGTTCATGGTCAGACAAATCAGACGTCGTACTCGAATCCAGGAACCGGGCTCTTTTTGGCTGGCTGCCACTCGTGCCCCCAGCATCTTTGTTGCCGGTGTTTACTCTAGTCACAGGACACATACTCTGACCATCCACACTCTCCTTTTTCTCGCTCTCAGTGCATTGCTCCTTAGACATAGTTTCGGTGTCATGTGAGTTCGGCTTTCGTTTGTGCGCAGCTATTTGCAAGGTGTCAGGCCTCTGCGATGAACTCATCGACAGTCTTTGCTGAAGCAAATGTGGGCGGCCAGCATGTTGCCCAGTGGCTGAACTCGACACACACTGACCTGATCCAATACTCGGTGATGCTGTATGCGACACACACTGACCTGATCCAATACTCGGTGATGCTGTATGCGCAGTTCTGCTCAGTGACTGAGCCACACGTGTCCCGTACGGGTTACGTCGCAGTAAGAAGCTATCAATGCGCGCCTTCAGACCGTCATTGACTACGGCCTTGTATGTCTTAGTCAGAATCTTGCCCGTGAAGGGATCAGTTGGTTTCCTTCCCCAGTGACTATCTGTTTCAGCCAGTTTCTCAAGTGTGGTGACATCAACATTGTTACCCGATGGTAGTAGAACCGGTGTGTACATCATCTCATTTGTAAGGCTGTCGTAAAACTCCGACGGAGCTGTCTGCAAAACATTTCCCGCGGCGGGATGACTTTGCGATGCATTTTCTACACTGGATCGCAATGCACTGTGTGCAGAATTCAGACCGGGTGAAGCGCTCTCAACTTCATTCTCTGTACCTGATGCAATTGGCTTGTTAGCAGGTGGCAGTGTGGGTCTAGATTGCCGACTCCTCGGACTGCATTGGCTTGAAACTCCAGCAACTGCTGGACTAGATGTGAATGTAGCCGCACTAACACTAGAGGAACTATCATTCTCATTCTGGGTGATGGCACGGACAACATCATCAAATTGCTTCCTCTCCATAGCACTCCACCCAGCTGACACAGGCGACGCCCAGACTTCCAGCAATCGCAACTTTGGCACTGACGCGCCTGACACGAAGTATATACGGATGGCAATGGATTGTATTCGAGAAAACCGTCTGTTCTGCACCAGTGAAACGCTAGCACTGGTTTGGAGTCTTTCATGTGACACAAAGGTACCCGTTGCTTCCGTGCTTAAAGACTGGGATGCGGCAGTAAACATCATGGCCGTACCACGTTTGGCTGTTACCCTGGCCTGTGAAAACCTCCGCTCATATGGCACTGGTATGGCACTGGCAGTAGAGCTTCCGTGCGAAGACAATGGCGTCCAAACCTCTAGCCCAGATTTGTCATTGGCTGTCTCGACGATAATACATGCCACGCTCACTGGATAGCGAAAGTTGATAAATATATCCACCGGAGGCTTTATAAAGCGTTCAGTTGAGAAGCCCCGACTCCGCTCCGCTACGGAATGACTCTGGAAGTTCGCCACCTCATAACTGTCAGCTGCTACTGCCGGACTGGATAACACGACATACTCCTTCAACATAGGATGGCAATAATTAACCAACATGGTTGTTATCTCTGGTGGTTACTGTTGTGTCAAGCTCGTATATATTTCAGTGTACCCAATGCTATTTTCAGTGTACTGCACATGCGCCAGAACAAGGCAGTGGCTATCCTAGCCACAGTCGAACACGAAAACAGGCATTGTGACGTGGGCAGCGAAGATAATCCGAGAAATCAATAACGGAGGAGACAAACCATTAGAAGTGCAAGAAAGTTCTACTGGATAAAATAGTTTAGAATTCAAAGTACATAAATCAAGACGTAGTGGTCCGCGGGGATCCACTCGTATGTGTACTTACTTCCACTTCTAGCAGTGAGAATGAGCGATGGACACAACTTCACAAGGAACATTCGCCACACGATCACTTCTGGCAGTTCTGCAGTTTTGTCTGGTCAAATAATTATTTTTAGTAATTCAAACACGACTTGCATGCATTTGCTCATCATGACGTCAACCGATATATGAACGATGTTCCAAACTGAAAAAACCCGCTAGAATACTAACACTACAGCCGCGGATCACATTCAGCGCGCAGGCCGGGTGATGTAGCACAAAAATTGAAAAAAGAGTGCAAGTGAGTCGCGTGATGCATGCCTGCTGCATGCGCTGATTGTGCATGTAATCATGTATAATGTGTTGCATCATCGATTCTTGCTTGACCTTTGGCTTTTGCTTTCCAGTCTGTAATTCTGTGTGTTCATGAAAATACTCAATCTGTTCATGAAAATAGAAGACTAAGAATGGAGAAACGCTTGTGACTCGTCGCAAGCTGCCCTGTCGTTTTTGGTACGAACCAGCGAAAGCTCACAGAGCTAGAGGCAGTCTAAAATGTGGATTCTTCGCTCGTGTTCCACTGCTGATAGCGCTGTGAGACGTCTCCGTCACGTGCACAATGTGATATCTACAGCCTACTGCAGCAGTAGTGCTGGCAATGTTTCTAGTGGTGGAAGTTCTGAAACAGGTATTGGGTATAATTTCATTAAAAGTTGTCATTGTCACTTTACCTAGATCTACCTGGTACAGTCCAAAGTGTAAAAGTAAAACAATAAGAATTATTTAAATACAATAAGAATTATTTTACTTATTTCGAACTTAATTATTCTAATTTTCAAAATAACGAATCTATTTATACTAGATTTATTGGTTTGAGGGAAAGGTGCGAATGGGAAAAGCCTGAAGAAAAAATTGGCTGTCACCACCAGGACTCGAACCAGGGGCCCTCATTTATGATGATGCTCTGTAGAACTAAGCTATGGCGTAGTCGTCATCCAAGCAGCTATTAGATTTCATCGGATTTTGACAGACATTCCCCGCACATAGCATGTTGAGTACGTCAAGGAGCTAGCAAGATATCCACTATGGGTTATGTACACACACTGCATGCAAACACACACGTGCGCGCCTGCCCCCCCCCCCACACACACACACATACAGTCGACTCCTGATATAACGAACACCGTTGTGCAGGAGAATTAGTTCTTTATAACCGAAGTTCGTTATAACAGAAATGCACTCACACTATACAAGCAGCAAGTCATGAATGGGATTGACTGATATGTGGCCCATGACAGTATGAGTGCACAACAGCACCCAACAAGCACCCCAACAGGATTTGGTTCGTTATAAACGGAAACTGTTTGTTATAAAGGGTCAGTTTTGTGCGGGTTCAAACAGGGACATGGACAATGGTTCGCTATAGTACTGTCGGGCGCAGAAGAACTTGGGGGGTCAGGGTTCTAGCCTAGCCAGTTCTTATTTTTAGCTAACACAGCAGTTTCGTTCTTATTCAATGCTACCGTCTTACATGTACATTTATGCAGAGTTATACGTCTGAGTGTACATTATAGTGTACATTACGGTTTCCGTTCTTATCTGCAAAACGTCCAGCCTAGACCGTTCTTAAAAATTAGTGAAATTCTAGCCTGGCCGTTCTTCGGCGCCCGACAGTACTGTATATCAGGAAATTTTCTATATGCGAGTTTGATAAGTGGAGTCGACTGTATATACAATGCTGGCCAGAGAAATCCAACCTCGTGAATAAAGTAGCGCCGCGTTTGAGTGCACAGACCAGTATGTGTAGTGCTAGGGCTGCGTATCGCCCGACGCTCTTTTATTCATAAGGTTGGATTTCTTTGGCCAGTACTGTACGTAAATGCTACCACTTCGGTGCAGTTGTATTATTCAGAAACTGCACTGGGAGTTTCCCGTTCCGAATTTGGCAGTTTTCTCACTAATTTGAATGGTGTACATCAGATCCGTATGCATTTTCCTTGCGTGTGCCACAATGTAGAGAACCTCATCTCTGCGCAGAAATCTAGCCCAATGCCATGAAACTCGGAGTAGCAATACATCTTTAGTTTCCTGGCATTGTGAACGTGTGTAGCCCCCCCCCCCCCCCCCTTAAGATTGTTTACAACTGCCAACACATTCTCTAGCCAGTGAATAGCAGAGTGTCTCACCATGTGTCCCCTGCAAACAGAACACAGGCGTGCTGCAAGATCGTATGGAGTTAGTGGAGTGGATCATGTGAAAGTCTGGCTTGCAGGCGTCCAAGTCACGACTCTTGCACACTATTGAGAGTAATTTACTCTTGGTATGGCAGGCGATACACTCTTGGTATGGCAGGCGATACACTCTTGGTATGGCAGGCGATACACTCTTGGTATGGCAGGCGATACACTCTTGGTATGGCAGGCGATACACTCTTGGTATGGCATAATGATAATATACTCTTGGTATGGCAAGCGATACACTCCTTCTGAAGATTAAGGTGGCTGAGAGCGCTTCCTATTTGTATTGTATGCTTGTATTGAATTTGTGTTTCAGATTCAGTGTCCATTGGCGATGCCAGTGTTACGCTAAGTCAGCCTAATAAGCCTGAACTAGTCCCCACTCAGCACCGTGAGTACATATCATGATGTATGCGCTATCTCATCTACACTCAGTGCTTTGCGTCAGCTCAAGAGAGTGCTCGATGCACCTAGGTGCATAGCCTTATACATGTAAAGGTATACTAGTAGATAAGGGAAGCTAAAGCTTTATTGCTGTAACTCGATGTATGGAACGCCTCCGTGAGCAGGGTTGACCGGATCCACCGGATTCTTTTTTTTGCCAAAAATCGTACTCTATACTTGATATGTGTACAAATGGCGGGAATAAAAGTGATGCTGCAGAAATCGTTGCTTTCTCTCATGGAAACCCTAAAAAATCACTAAAATTCCAGATTCGATCAAGGGTAGCGTTTGATTGGACCTTGGTGGCTCCAAAGGATCCACTCAATCGATCCGAATCCAACCTATCGAACTTGCCCTAAGAAAACTGTCAAAATTGTCTGCTAATTTTCTGAAACAATTCTTTCTTTTTCCTTGTCCAGTGCCACTCGAACCTGGCCAGTCTGTCCTAAACCATCTACGATGGATTATGCAAAAGGTATGTTCTTCAGCGGTGTTCCAATAATTCATCTCAGCTTGTACTAATTCCTTTGGATAATCAGGATACGTGTACATGTACCGGCGTAAAGTACTGTTGATTTGTCCTCTCTCTAATCCCCCCGTCAAATTTCTATCTGTGAAGCGACTTCAGCGCGTCCATCAGAATACAGTGTTGAACTGACGCATGCACTGCTGTGCACAATACATGCCAGCGCAGTTGTGCCTGCGGATGAAAATGTGCACAATCCAGGCTCCAGCATGGCAACTCTGATCTTTCGTGTAGTTGTACATACTCGTAGTACATGTACTGCCCTTGACGGCCTTGATCTAGTTCCCGCCCTCTGCTGAAAAGCCAGCCGGGAAGCGACACAGTGTGTGTGTGTGTGTGTGTGTGAGGGGGGGGGGGGGGGGGGGGGGATCAACGGTATTTTACAGTGCATGGAAGTAGAATTCTACATTAGTTGCGTACACTATTCAGTATTCAACATTGTTTTGGTAGAAGTAAGGTACGTACCGTGGACGGGTGTTTTATGTTCTGATATGTGGTGGCCAAACAAACCTTTTAAAATTGTCTGACTATGACATGTATCTCAGTCCAACTGGGCCTTGTAGCATTCCTCTTGTGGTTCTCAACGATATGAGAATACTTACTTTTGTGTATTTTACCATCTTTTTTTTGTGTACTTTGTACAGGATCTACTTGGTCAAGATGTGTTCCTCATTGGACCTCCCGGCCCTCTGCGCCGTCACCTTGCCATGCAGTATTGCGTAAGGCGCATCTCTCAATCATTGAACTATTTGCAATGGGTGCAGCTGTTGACTGGCACCTTTGCATGCATTGCTGCAGTTGTGTTCCTATTGTAAATAGGCTGCATGCACAGTGACACCGTGATGTCATCCCTACGCATTTCGTAGATAAAATGGCTGCTTGCAACTTTCAAGTGACTGCTGGTGCTCTGCAGATCTGAAAAAATGAAAGAGTGCAGCACCGTTTCGTCCTACAGGCTTGCACGCACGTTGTGCACACTTCATCATTGTGCCCCTCCCAGCCTATGTTGTGAGTGCTTGGCAGCCGTTGGTAGCCGGCGTCCTTGCTTGAGAGAGTGAATTCTGTCAACGTATATTATTTCGCGTGATGTAGTTTGCAGTTCTTCTCTACATTGTGTAGCTACTGAATGGAGCTCCACAGCGATATCTTCTTTTTCACATCCTGTGTTCAAACTAATGCTCTTGGAAGTACGTGACTGCCTTTGTAGAGAAATCTCTTGTGTGGCACTGGAAATACAGTGTTTTGCCCCCCCCCCCCCCTGATTTCTCTTGTAGGAGTTAACCCAGCGGGAGGTGGAGTATGTATCCCTATCCCGCGACACAACCGAGTCTGATTTGAAGCAACGGCGTGAAATCCAGGGTGGAACTGCTTTCTACGTCGACCAGGCTGCCGTGCGAGCTGCTCTGGAAGGTCGCATCCTTATTCTCGATGGTATTGAGAAAGCTGAGCGCAATGTGTTACCCGTCCTGAATAACTTGCTGGAAAACAGGTATGTATTGACCCTATTGGCTGCAGCTGCCAGTTGGATCCTTTGATTTGCAGTATGAATGTGTTTGATTTGCAGTACGAATGTGTTTGATTTGCAGTATGAATGTGTTTGATTTGCAGTATGAATGTGTTTGATTTGCAGTACGAATGTGTTTGATTTGCAGTACGAATGTGTTTGATTTGCAGTATGAATGTGTTTGATTTGCAGTACGAATGTGTTTGATTTGCAGTATGAATGTGTTTGATTTACAGTATGAATGTGTTTGATTTGCAGTATGAATGTGTTTGATTTGCAGTACGAATGTGTTTGATTTGCAGTATGAATGTGTTTGATTTACAGTATGAATGTGTTTGATTTGCAGTATGAATGTGTTTGATTTACAGTATGAATGTGTTTGATTTACAGTATGAATGTGTTTGATTTACAGTATGAATGTGTTTGATTTACAGTATGAATGTGTTTGATTTACAGTATGAATGTGTTTGATTTACAGTATGAATGTGTTTGATTTACAGTATGAATGTGTTTGATTTACAGTATGAATGTGTTTGATTTGCAGTATGAATGTGTTTGATTTGCAGTATGAATGTGTTTGATTTACAGTATGAATGTGTTTGATTTGCAGTATGAATGTGTTTGATTTGCAGTATGAATGTGTTTGATTTGCAGTATGAATGTGTTTGATTTGCAGTATGAATGTGTTTGATTTGCAGTATGAATGTGTTTGATTTGCAGTATGAATGTGTTTGATTTGCAGTATGAATGTGTTTGATTTGCAGTATGAATGTGTTTGATTTGCAGTATGAATGTGTTTGATTTGCAGTATGAATGTGTTTGATTTGCAGTATGAATGTGTTTGATTTGCAGTATGAATGTGTTTGATTTGCAGTATGAATGTGTTTGATTTGCAGTATGAATGTGTTTGATTTGCAGTATGAATGTGTTTGATTTGCAGTATGAATGTGTTTGATTTGCAGTATGAATGTGTTTGATTTGCAGTATGAATGTGTTTGATTTGCAGTATGAATGTGTTTGATTTACAGTATGAATGTGTTTGATTTGCAGTATGAATGTGTTTGATTTGCAGTATGAATGTGTTTGATTTACAGTATGAATGTGTTTGATTTACAGTATGAATGTGTTTGATTTACAGTATGAATGTGTTTGATTTACAGTATGAATGTGTTTGATTTGCAGTATGAATGTGTTTGATTTGCAGTATGAATGTGTTTGATTTGCAGTATGAATGTGTTTGATTTACAGTATGAATGTGTTTGATTTGCAGTATGAATGTGTTTGATTTACAGTATGAATGTGTTTGATTTACAGTATGAATGTGTTTGATTTGCAGTATGAATGTGTTTGATTTGCAGTATGAATGTGTTTGATTTACAGTATGAATGTGTTTGATTTGCAGTATGAATGTGTTTGATTTGCAGTATGAATGTGTTTGATTTGCAGTATGAATGTGTTTGATTTGCAGTATGAATGTGTTTGATTTGCAGTATGAATGTGTTTGATTTGCAGTATGAATGTGTTTGATTTGCAGTATGAATGTGTTTGATTTGCAGTATGAATGTGTTTGATTTGCAGTATGAATGTGTTTGATTTGCAGTATGAATGTGTTTGATTTGCAGTATGAATGTGTTTGATTTGCAGTATGAATGTGTTTGATTTGCAGTATGAATGTGTTTGATTTGCAGTATGAATGTGTTTGATTTGCAGTATGAATGTGTTTGATTTGCAGTATGAATGTGTTTGATTTGCAGTATGAATGTGTTTGATTTGCAGTATGAATGTGTTTGATTTGCAGTATGAATGTGTTTGATTTGCAGTATGAATGTGTTTGATTTGCAGTATGAATGTGTTTGATTTGCAGTATGAATGTGTTTGATTTACAGTATGAATGTGTTTGATTTGCAGTATGAATGTGTTTGATTTACAGTATGAATGTGTTTGATTTGCAGTATGAATGTGTTTGATTTGCAGTACGAATGTGTTTGATTTGCAGTATGAATGTGTTTGATTTGCAGTATGAATGTGTTTGATTTACAGTATGAATGTGTTTGATTTGCAGTATGAATGTGTTTGATTTACAGTATGAATGTGTTTGATTTGCAGTATGAATGTGTTTGATTTGCAGTATGAATGTGTTTGATTTGCAGTATGAATGTGTTTGATTTGCAGTATGAATGTGTTTGATTTGCAGTACGAATGTGTTTGATTTGCAGTATGAATGTGTTTGATTTGCAGTATGAATGTGTTTGATTTACAGTATGAATGTGTTTGATTTGCAGTATGAATGTGTTTGATTTACAGTATGAATGTGTTTGATTTGCAGTATGAATGTGTTTGATTTGCAGTATGAATGTGTTTGATTTGCAGTATGAATGTGTTTGATTTGCAGTATGAATGTGTTTGATTTGCAGTATGAATGTGTTTGATTTGCAGTATGAATGTGTTTGATTTGCAGTATGAATGTGTTTGATTTGCAGTACGAATGTGTTTGATTTGCAGTATGAATGTGTTTGATTTGCAGTATGAATGTGTTTGATTTGCAGTATGAATGTGTTTGATTTGCAGTATGAATGTGTTTGATTTGCAGTATGAATGTGTTTGATTTACAGTATGAATGTGTTTGATTTACAGTATGAATGTGTTTGATTTGCAGTATGAATGTGTTTGATTTGCAGTATGAATGTGTTTGATTTACAGTATGAATGTGTTTGATTTGCAGTATGAATGTGTTTGATTTGCAGTATGAATGTGTTTGATTTGCAGTATGAATGTGTTTGATTTGCAGTATGAATGTGTTTGATTTGCAGTATGAATGTGTTTGATTTGCAGTATGAATGTGTTTGATTTGCAGTATGAATGTGTTTGATTTGCAGTATGAATGTGTTTGATTTGCAGTATGAATGTGTTTGATTTGCAGTATGAATGTGTTTGATTTGCAGTATGAATGTGTTTGATTTGCAGTATGAATGTGTTTGATTTGCAGTATGAATGTGTTTGATTTGCAGTATGAATGTGTTTGATTTGCAGTATGAATGTGTTTGATTTGCAGTATGAATGTGTTTGATTTGCAGTATGAATGTGTTTGATTTGCAGTATGAATGTGTTTGATTTGCAGTATGAATGTGTTTGATTTGCAGTATGAATGTGTTTGATTTGCAGTATGAATGTGTTTGATTTACAGTATGAATGTGTTTGATTTGCGGTATGAATGTGTTTGATTTACAGTATGAATGTGTTTGATTTGCAGTATGAATGTGTTTGATTTGCAGTACGAATGTGTTTGATTTGCAGTATGAATGTGTTTGATTTGCAGTATGAATGTGTTTGATTTACAGTATGAATGTGTTTGATTTGCAGTATGAATGTGTTTGATTTGCAGTATGAATGTGTTTGATTTGCAGTATGAATGTGTTTGATTTGCAGTATGAATGTGTTTGATTTGCAGTATGAATGTGTTTGATTTGCAGTATGAATGTGTTTGATTTGCAGTATGAATGTGTTTGATTTACAGTATGAATGTGTTTGATTTGCAGTATGAATGTGTTTGATTTACAGTATGAATGTGTTTGATTTGCAGTATGAATGTGTTTGATTTGCAGTATGAATGTGTTTGATTTGCAGTATGAATGTGTTTGATTTACAGTATGAATGTGTTTGATTTGCAGTATGAATGTGTTTGATTTACAGTATGAATGTGTTTGATTTGCAGTATGAATGTGTTTGATTTGCAGTATGAATGTGTTTGATTTGCAGTATGAATGTGTTTGATTTGCAGTATGAATGTGTTTGATTTGCAGTATGAATGTGTTTGATTTGCAGTATGAATGTGTTTGATTTGCAGTATGAATGTGTTTGATTTGCAGTATGAATGTGTTTGATTTGCAGTATGAATGTGTTTGATTTGCAGTATGAATGTGTTTGATTTACAGTATGAATGTGTTTGATTTGCAGTATGAATGTGTTTGATTTGCAGTATGAATGTGTTTGATTTGCAGTATGAATGTGTTTGATTTACAGTATGAATGTGTTTGATTTGCAGTATGAATGTGTTTGATTTGCAGTATGAATGTGTTTGATTTGCAGTATGAATGTGTTTGATTTGCAGTATGAATGTGTTTGATTTGCAGTATGAATGTGTTTGATTTGCAGTATGAATGTGTTTGATTTGCAGTATGAATGTGTTTGATTTGCAGTATGAATGTGTTTGATTTGCAGTATGAATGTGTTTGATTTGCAGTATGAATGTGTTTGATTTGCAGTATGAATGTGTTTGATTTGCAGTATGAATGTGTTTGATTTGCAGTATGAATGTGTTTGATTTGCAGTATGAATGTGTTTGATTTGCAGTATGAATGTGTTTGATTTGCAGTATGAATGTGTTTGATTTGCAGTATGAATGTGTTTGATTTGCAGTATGAATGTGTTTGATTTGCAGTATGAATGTGTTTGATTTGCAGTATGAATGTGTTTGATTTGCAGTATGAATGTGTTTGATTTGCAGTATGAATGTGTTTGATTTGCAGTATGAATGTGTTTGATTTGCAGTATGAATGTGTTTGATTTGCAGTATGAATGTGTTTGATTTGCAGTATGAATGTGTTTGATTTGCAGTATGAATGTGTTTGATTTGCAGTATGAATGTGTTTGATTTGCAGTATGAATGTGTTTGATTTGCAGTATGAATGTGTTTGATTTGCAGTATGAATGTGTTTGATTTGCAGTATGAATGTGTTTGATTTGCAGTATGAATGTGTTTGATTTGCAGTATGAATGTGTTTGATTTGCAGTATGAATGTGTTTGATTTGCAGTATGAATGTGTTTGATTTGCAGTATGAATGTGTTTGATTTGCAGTATGAATGTGTTTGATTTGCAGTATGAATGTGTTTGATTTGCAGTATGAATGTGTTTGATTTGCAGTATGAATGTGTTTGATTTGCAGTATGAATGTGTTTGATTTGCAGTATGAATGTGTTTGATTTGCAGTATGAATGTGTTTGATTTGCAGTATGAATGTGTTTGATTTGCAGTATGAATGTGTTTGATTTGCAGTATGAATGTGTTTGATTTGCAGTATGAATGTGTTTGATTTGCAGTATGAATGTGTTTGATTTGCAGTATGAATGTGTTTGATTTGCAGTATGAATGTGTTTGATTTGCAGTATGAATGTGTTTGATTTGCAGTATGAATGTGTTTGATTTGCAGTATGAATGTGTTTGATTTGCAGTATGAATGTGTTTGATTTGCAGTATGAATGTGTTTGATTTGCAGTATGAATGTGTTTGATTTGCAGTATGAATGTGTTTGATTTGCAGTATGAATGTGTTTGATTTGCAGTATGAATGTGTTTGATTTGCAGTATGAATGTGTTTGATTTGCAGTATGAATGTGTTTGATTTGCAGTATGAATGTGTTTGATTTGCAGTATGAATGTGTTTGATTTGCAGTATGAATGTGTTTGATTTGCAGTATGAATGTGTTTGATTTGCAGTATGAATGTGTTTGATTTGCAGTATGAATGTGTTTGATTTGCAGTATGAATGTGTTTGATTTGCAGTATGAATGTGTTTGATTTGCAGTATGAATGTGTTTGATTTGCAGTATGAATGTGTTTGATTTGCAGTATGAATGTGTTTGATTTGCAGTATGAATGTGTTTGATTTGCAGTATGAATGTGTTTGATTTGCAGTATGAATGTGTTTGATTTGCAGTATGAATGTGTTTGATTTGCAGTATGAATGTGTTTGATTTGCAGTATGAATGTGTTTGATTTGCAGTATGAATGTGTTTGATTTGCAGTATGAATGTGTTTGATTTGCAGTATGAATGTGTTTGATTTGCAGTATGAATGTGTTTGATTTACAGTATGAATGTGTTTGATTTGCAGTATGAATGTGTTTGATTTGCAGTATGAATGTGTTTGATTTGCAGTATGAATGTGTTTGATTTGCAGTATGAATGTGTTTGATTTGCAGTATGAATGTGTTTGATTTGCAGTATGAATGTGTTTGATTTGCAGTATGAATGTGTTTGATTTGCAGTATGAATGTGTTTGATTTGCAGTATGAATGTGTTTGATTTGCAGTATGAATGTGTTTGATTTGCAGTATGAATGTGTTTGATTTGCAGTATGAATGTGTTTGATTTGCAGTATGAATGTGTTTGATTTGCAGTATGAATGTGTTTGATTTGCAGTATGAATGTGTTTGATTTGCAGTATGAATGTGTTTGATTTGCAGTATGAATGTGTTTGATTTGCAGTATGAATGTGTTTGATTTGCAGTATGAATGTGTTTGATTTGCAGTATGAATGTGTTTGATTTGCAGTATGAATGTGTTTGATTTGCAGTATGAATGTGTTTGATTTGCAGTATGAATGTGTTTGATTTGCAGTATGAATGTGTTTGATTTGCAGTATGAATGTGTTTGATTTGCAGTATGAATGTGTTTGATTTGCAGTATGAATGTGTTTGATTTGCAGTATGAATGTGTTTGATTTGCAGTATGAATGTGTTTGATTTGCAGTATGAATGTGTTTGATTTGCAGTATGAATGTGTTTGATTTGCAGTATGAATGTGTTTGATTTGCAGTATGAATGTGTTTGATTTGCAGTATGAATGTGTTTGATTTGCAGTATGAATGTGTTTGATTTGCAGTATGAATGTGTTTGAGCATTATAGGTTCACTACAGTGTACATCCGGGCTGGTTGAAAACACGTGTACTTCATTATTGTGGTTGGATTAGAGGGCTGTATGCAGGTATAGTGTGCTGGTCTAAGACCATGGCTGAGAAGCAGAGGGTAGCACCAGGATGAAGGGCTTGTTGGGAACTGGATGGGTGATTTCCAGTCCCAAAGTGCATTGAGAACTCGTGACCCGTGTTTGTCTTTGTGCGTATTTTACTGGGTTTTTTGGCGCCATGCCTTTGGAAACGCTGAAATGGAAATTCCAACGTGTGTTTTTCAGCGGATTTGGGTGTGCATGCCAGTCACTGTGACTGACGGGGTAAAAATATTACTTCGTTTTGTAGTCGATGGCATCACTCAACCTACTGTAAAACCAGAAAGTCTAACTAGTCACAAAGTCTAACATTTTAGCGACCATTTTTTTTTCGTTTTGAAGAAACGTTATCGCAAACCCGGTTTGAGATGTCTGTGTAAAGATGCGCATACAGCTACAGATGGGTGGCCAGGTAGCCATCGTTAAACTTTCTGCACGTTATCATGCCAAAATTACAAAAAGGTTAAACTTTTTGGTCGTTAAAACTTTCCGGGTTTACAGTAAATATGACACAAACTGCTGTTTTCTGTGAAAAGCCTGGACGCCCGTCTTGGCTCGCATGTATGGCAAACGCACCGCATACATGTGCCAGTTATGAACTCAGCTTCACTTGACGGGAAAGCACGAAAACTGGTTTTTGAAATCCTTGAGTCCCGATGCATGCGGTTTGTTGTTTTTTCTTGCGCGTGCATAGAGTGATTATCGTTCTGTCTTTCTGTGTCAATAACTCAATATAGATGTTTGCCCTTTGTATGTGGTGAATGTATGATGTCCTAATCCTATTCTCTCTTTCCTGCCTGCTGCTGTACCAACTAGGGAAATGCAATTGGAAGATGGCTGCTTCCTGATACCAGCTGCTCGCTATGATGCACTGGTCAAGGTATGGCCGCAAAGCAGCAATGCACTGTCGCTATTTTGATGGTAGTTTGACAATCTCCATAGCCAGTGTGTTTGCTGAACCATTGTTAGCAGCACTGGCTCACACTCAACAACTGTGACGTGCAGTAGTCGGTGTCAGCCAGTGCTGCTGAAAAGGATTTCCTAGTTCAGTAAGCTATGGGATTTGGCATACCAAACTTAAAAGCTATGCTTGTATAGGTGTGTGCTTACTGTTGCATCCTTCCACTGTTGTCAATGATTTTTGTGTAACTTTAGGTACATCCAGTTAATATTGGCAATGGTGTTTCGTTTCCCTGTGGTATCGTGCTATTGTAGAGTAGCTCTCAGGCTGAGCTGGACAACTGGAAGTTGAAACGTGTCAGTGAGAGGTTCCGTGTCATTGCCCTTGGCCTGCCAGTGCCCCGCTACAAGGGAAATCCCCTTGACCCACCGCTTCGCTCTCGCTTCCAAGGCCGAGACGTGCGCCACATGGACTTTGCTGTGAGTACCACTTGTTGCGTGGCCTCCACTAACATAGTAAATTCACACGGCAGCCATGTTGTTTTACCACTACCTAATCCTGTGCAAGGATGGACTCGGATGGAGAGCCAAGGTTTAATTTATAGCAAAGAAAAGCATGTTATCGCATGAGCTGATTGTCAAGTAACTGGTGGTGCTAGTGGACAATAGCGTAACTTGTAGTTCCTGTGTCCTTTTCTTTGCTAAAACCCTAATCCTGTCTTCACTTTTGGACTTTGCAGTGACTATGGCTATGTGCTCCAGTGATGACTGGAGCTTCCATTAGGTTATACTATTTGCTGAAGTAATTGTCACACCACACCACTGTGTGGCGATGATACATGTACTCGTGCTTTGAATGCACTCTAACTTTTTTTGGTCTTTTCCTCTATCTCCAGGATGCATTGGCGCTGATGCAGCAGGTTGCGCCCAATGCCTCTACTGACAAGTAAGCTGTTGCATTATGTTCCAGGTTGTTCCAGGTTGCCAGACGCATGTATGTTCCTGACAAAGTGTCTGAAGTCCTTGCTGTATGTTCCTGATGTGTACGTGCTGCACCTGAACGCTTCGCAGCACCAGCAATGTTACTGATATTCTGCATGATTGTGTGAGTTATGGTCACATGCTGATGACCCGTACCATCTCAGTAAGAGAAATTCAATCATGATCAAGACGGGTGATTATTATTATTATTATTATTATTATTATTATTTTGCTTGTTCGCGTTGGCATCAACCTGCATAAAGCAGGTATATAGCCTTCGCTTAAGCTGCCATAAAAAAGAAAGCTCATCCTAAGCGAGAGGGCTAGAGGGAAATCTAACGATAACGATAACGAGATACAGAATACAAAGAAATCCAATGAGTTCAACGTACAATTCAAAACAAGAAAGAAAGGAAAGAAAAACAGAGCCGAATCTACCGATTGATCCATCAATCGACAAAGGGGACTAATCCGTTAGTGTTGCAAAGTAGAAGCTGATTATAGTTGCAGATCTCCAGGCCAGGGCCAGCATATTGCCGATTCTGGATAGGTCTCCGCAGCATTTGATGTGGTAATTATCATAATGTTTGATAAAATTGTTAGAGTATCTAGTATCTAGAGTACCGAGTATCTAGTATCTAGAGTGTCTAGTGTAATTGTATCCGTTATTATTGTTAAGGGTATCTAGTGTAATTGTATCCGTTATTATTGTTAAGGGTATCTAGTGTAATTGTATAACTTCAGCCATTACACACAGCACACATTAGTTCCTTCCACTTTCGACGATCCTGGGCGAGCTGCCTCAGTGCAACTAGATCCTCGTGTGATGTGAGGGAGTTTGTGGATCTGGAATTTTTCAGGTCGTTGTTGATGGATCGCGGGAGTGTTGTTCTCGGGCGGCCTCGGAACCCTGAGCTTCCTGGCTGAAAGTATGCTGACATAGCCTGCTGGACCGGGGATGAGGTGTCTAGTCGAAGCATGTGGCCAAACATTCTCCACCTAGCAGACTGGATGATTCTGCTGAGTGGCTTGGAGCCAGTGCGCTTGTACAGTGCTTCATTGCGTATTATACGGGGATATTTGACCCCTATGACTGCTCGTAACTGCTGGCGGTGGAACGAGTCAAGTTTCTTTTCTTGAGTCTCTGTCAGGCTCCATGTGCCGCAGTTATAAAGAAGTATTGGGAGAATAAAGCTGCCGTATAACCTAATCCGAAGGGGTTCACGGGCATGGTTACCTCTTAGCCATATCACCCACAGCTGATGTAAGGCGCATGTTGCTAGACGTTTTCTCCGACTGATATCTTCCTCCACTCCAAGCATCGATCCTAGTTTGACCGTGTTCCGCCATCGCTCGTCTACTCTGTCCTTTTCTCTTTTAATTGTAGTATATTCGGTTTTGGCTTCATTCATTTTTAAATTGTATTCCGCTAACGAGGATGATAGTACGGGTTGATTGTCATGCAAATATTGTAGGCTGGTGCTGATGAAGTCTACGTCATCCGCATACGCTGTTTCATTGGGCAATTGAAGCTGAATATCCAATGCTGGTCGCGGTGAGAGTCGCTCTCGAATCAACCTCAATGCAGCCTCGAGGTAGACAGTAAACAGGACTGGCGATAGAGAATCACCTTGTGGGGTTCCATTATGTGTGACTAATGGTTGGCTGAGAATGTTATTCAGCTTTACTTTTATTGTGGTGTCTGTCAGAAGGCACTGGATGATGTGCAGCTCATCATGATCAATGACTGTTGACAGTACATCGATCAGCCTGACCCTTGATATAGTGTCAAATGCCTTTGACATATCAATGCCTAAGATTGAGATCTCCGACGCAACACGCTGGCATCTTGCTGATAACCACCGATAGCTATATACCACGTCTCCAGTACTTCTCCCTGACCGGAACCCGCTCTGGTTCAGTGACAAGTACCCGTTGATAGCTGGCTTGATCCGCGTCAGGATGACCAATGAAAGAAGTTTACGTAGGGTGTTCAACAGGGTAACTGGCCTTACATTTCCAGGAGGACCTCTTTTCTTTCCCGGCTTTGGTATCGGGATCAGTAGCCCATCGCCTAGCTTGAGTGATTTGTCTTTGGCATAATTGTTGAATGTAGTGGCAATGTTCGAGAACAGTGCTGGTGTTCCATATTTGATAAGTTCAGCAGGTATCCCATCTGGTCCCGAAGCTCGGCCATTATTCAAGCGCTTAGCTGCGGCATGTACCTCTGGCTGCTTTATAGGGTTTTTAAGGTCTTCCTCTGTCCGTAAGAGCCTAGATGACTCCAGAGCAGGATCACAGAATATAGCACGGAAGTGTTGCCTTAATGCTTCGACTGATTCACTAGGTTGTGCAATGAGTTTGCCATCAGAGTCTTCAACCACAACTGGTGACTGCTGCTGTCGGCGCAGTAGTCGTGTTGCTTTGAACATTTTCGCGTCGTCTTTCATTTGGTCTATTTCAGCTACACGTTCGTCCAGTCGAGTCGATGCTAACTTGAGGCATTCCCGGCGAATTTGGTGTGCCAGCCTGTTGCGTCGCGTCTTCATTTCTTTTACCTTCGTTCCATCTCTGCACACCGTAATGTCGAGACGCAGTTTGCGTTTCTCTGCTGCTAGCTTTTCAATTTCCCCGCTGAAGCCATTTCTATGTGTCTTGTTTGTTTTAGGGACGCGGCCCACCGATGTGTTTGCTGCCTCACTCATAGCGTTCACAATATACTGCAGATGTTGCTCCGCATTGACACCTTCCTGCTCTCTGCCGAGGTCCTGTAGATGTTCGTTGATAGCCTCTCTGTACTTTGCTTTCTTGGTCGGGTCACTAAATTCCGATATATTGAATTTTGCGTTGCTGGATATGGCTACTGGCGGCCTCTTGAGCTTCTTGTACAACTTAGTCAGGTTGAGGTTTGCCAGCACAAGACGGTGATCGCTTTCTAAGCTTGTCCCGGCATATGATCTGGCATCCGTCACCACAAACCTTTCACTGTGACGGCAAAGGATATAATCTATTTGGTTGTAAATGGGTAAAGGTGGACCTCCACTAGGGTTGTGGCGCCAGCCTGTCCATGTGGTGATATGTTCTGCACGGTGCTGAAACGCCGTGTTACAGGCAAATAGGTAATTGCTGGACGCGAAATCAGCCAAAGTCTGGCCGCTGTAGTTGCGATGGCCCCTTGAGTGTGAACCAGCATAGGATACGGAGTGGCCGTCACTGGGTGGTCGTTTCCCAAGTTTTGCGTTGAAGTCTCCCATCAGGAACAGCAGCGATGAAGACCTTAGTTTTTGAATTGTTTCCAGCAAGCTGTTGTAGAACTCGTCTAGGCATGAATGGTCTGCTGCAACGCGTGTTGACGTCGGGGCGTAGACATTTACAAATGAGCACAGCGTTCTCCCGGAGAGCCATAACTGTAGCACGGCGATACGGTCCGACACCTGCCAATATCTATATATTCGGTGCAGTAACTGCTTTTCCACCACGAATCCGAGTCCATAATGTCGACACGACGACGAGAGACACAGTAGACGGTAGTTGTCAATATTTCCATCGTAGCCTTCGGAGATTTTAGTCTCCTGAAGACAGCGGAGTCCAACTCTGTATTTATTGAGGTCTGAAATAAGTTGATTTTTTTTGAAATTTGAAGTAAGTCCACGGACGTTGAACGTACCAATGCGAAACAAGCCCTCGCCTTTTGCTCCACTACTCAAAATACTTCCACAAGCTTGCCTGTTTCCTGGCGAAGAAGACATTACCCATGGGCCAGCCGAAGCTGACGGCCATGACCGAGCGGCGTCACTCGCTCTCCAAACAAGACGGGTGATAGAGAATTTAAAAAAAAACTCAGCTCTTGTAGTCTCTTTTGTTTAGGGCGAAATTTATTCGATCATCATAGCCGTTTACGTGATAGTTTGGGCTATTTCATGGTTTTTCTGACCTGTTTTATTTTATTTATTTATGTCTGCAGACTGACCACTCTATTATCTGTCGCAAGTACCATCTCGTCAACAGAGGGCAACACCCTGGGCTTGCCAGACTATCCCCTCGACTCTATTACTGATCTGGCGGCTATGTTGGTATGTTATGATTCACTGTTACACTAACAAGTAACAACTAAAGTCTGCTCATGATAAGTCACATACCGTATTTTACTCGGGTAGTTGCCGTGGTTGGCTATCACCATTCATTTCACATTCATTTGTCATTGGCAGTCGTTTGACGAGCCAGGAAATGTTGAATAAATACAAATACTCACACGGTCGCAATTTTTATTCCCATGCTCACGATATGCTTTGTTTTGGGTTGCTTCTTGTCTTGCATTGCTGATGGTAGAATCTTGCGCCGGACATGCCAGTGGCTGTGCTGCTACAAGTGCTCTACCCAAACACAATGCTGACCGCGGAGGGTCAGAAGGCGTATGCGGCTTGCCTCGAGGTGAGCTGGAAGATCCGTTTGTGTCCATGCATGTGTGTGTGTGTGGGGGGGGGGGGGGGGGGGTATGTGTGCATGCATGTGTAAAGTCATATTATAAGAGTAGCATCTGTGTATCTCCAGCGTACAGACATTGCATAATTTTGAGATGTGCTCAGGGCTGCTAACGTTTCTGTCGGTAGAAATCTGAAGGGGTGTCCCCCGGCTGGGGGCCAAGGGGCATAACGAGAGCTGACAAATTGCATCCTGGCATTTTCACCATCCGGAGAAAATATGGACTGACCAGCGAGTACCAACGAGTGCGCTGGTCAGTCCTTATAAAATTTAATACTAGTCTACAGTACTGTCGGTCGCCGAAGAACTGGGGGGTCAGCCTCCTAGCCTAGACCGTTCTTATTTTCATATATTACAGTCTATCCACAGTTGAGTCACCGTGTGTACATTGGTATGCTGTGCTTGGTGAAATTCTAGCCTGGCTGTTCTTTGGCGCTCCGTTCTTCGGCGCCCGACAGTACTGTATAAAATCGGAATCTACGAAATTTAGTGTCTTCGGTCAGCTTGTCGGAATGACTTGTAAAAATCAGAGTGTTTCTCTGAAAAACCTGAACAAGTGGCAGCTGTTGTGGAATTATCCACCACCAGACCAGCGCAAGGATATAAGTTGGACTATAATTATTAATTTCAATTCCAAAATGCACAAGAAGTTTACAGAAGAAAAAAGCACGACCTCGACCAGGCCAGAAGCAAGAAGAACTAAACACAAGATATTGAAAACCCTTCTCCTCAACAAGCTGCATCACGTACAACGGAAAACAACTGGCTGCACCAGCGCGTGCATCAGCGCGTGCACCAGCGCGTGTACCAGCACTGCACCAACGTGTGCACCAGCGAAATCAATATCGAAAGTACGTATCAATCATTACATTACGTACAACATGCGCAAGAGGGTTACTCTACTTCACCTCTCCCCCTGGTGGTATGCAAAAGAAAATACCACCACAAATACTAAATAGCGCCACAAAGCAAAACTAACGGAAGCGCTGAGGGGGGTGCAAGCGAACCACGCTGACAGAGGCCATATGGGCGAAACTGATACGGAGCAGGATCATCGGCAGGGGTTCGAAGCGGCACATAATTAGGATCACGGGGATCAAACCGAGACCCAGCATCAGGGACAGCACCAGGAGCAGGCACATCAATAACAGCATCTGCAGCAGGCACATCAATAACAGCATCTGCAGCAGGCACAACAATAACAGCATCTGCAGCAGGCACATCAGCAACAGCATCTGCAGCAGGCACATCCGCAACAGCATCTGCAGCACCAACATCACGCTTCAGCAGTTCAACATCCACCACTTTCTCACCACCAGCAGCACACGGCGAACAGTGGCGCACAAACTGCTGACATTGGGCAGCCATGTTCGGGAAATAGCACTTCGAGCGGAGGAAGCGCCATGTACCCTCCCAAGACGCATGACCACAGTTCACATGAGCAGCACGAACGACATCGGACTCGAGTGAACTAGGAATAACAGGAATGACGACTGCATCATTGGGCGGCAACTTCACACTTCGACACAGCATACCATCATGGACTACGAACTGTGACTTGACCTTGACAAACGCAGGATCAGTAACTGGGGCACCATTGATGACTTGCTGGCGAGTCGAAACAATCCGAGGATCTGCATTCTGAGCAGCAGATACTCTGTCCAATGAGAATGGACCAACGGTCACCACCGCAGCGGTGACGGACGGTGCAGTCCGAGCAAGGAGCGTCTTGCCACATCGGATCCAGCTGCTGGGAACACGGGTCAATTGGTCCGCCTTGTTCTGCTGACTGCTGATCCACTGGACCTTGACCGTCAAGCCCGTGACAGCGACGAGATCAGTGATAATCTGGAGACGGCGCTGCACAAGTACCTGCTGCAGGCCGCTGACGCGAACACGAGACACATTGCCAAGCACCGATTGCAACCAAGCAGCCACAGTCTTGGAATCGGTGAATAGCGTGAGCTCCTTCACTTGCCACTGCACGGCAAGGTTCAATCCCTTGATCACGGCGTCAAGCTCAGCGATGTTAATGTGTCGCCGGTCGTCCTTCTGCCGCAGCCAGCAGCCATCCTCGACGATCCTACCATCGGCCTGAATGACAGCACCATGTGCGATGTCCGAAGCATCACACCACAACGACCACTGTGCGCCTTCAGGAACTGACCACACACCTTGCGCAGGGTCATCGGTCTGCAGACGGTGAAGGACTTCCGCACAACAAGCGACGACTTCATGAGACACTGGATCATCCCATCCAGGCTGAAGGCTAGACAGACGCTTCAGATAACTGCACGCTGGGCGCAGCCAGGAGCCGACAGGATAGTGGCTGGTCAGCTTGCCACACCACTTGAAAATCTCGCGTCGTGTGATGGCATCGGGCTGACAGGTCGGCATGACGTCACCACGACGCTTCCACCTCACTTGGCCATCTGCAGACTCTGACAGCTGCAGACCAAGTACCCTAGCAGAGACGACTGGCTCCGCTGGCTTGGTGGGCAACCCATACTGCGACAACTGATCGGTGACAGCACGCAGACGAGGCTTCGGAACATACAAATCGTCGACATAGTTGTCCACATCAGCATACGCACGGAGGACCCACTTGACGATTATGTCCATGAATTTGGGCGCAATCGATAGACCGAAGCCCATCCTCTCCATTGCAAACAGCTGGCCCTTCCAGACGACCGTTTGGAACTTGGCGAGAGCTGGCGCGATGCGGATGTTGAGGTAAGCCTTGCTGATGTCCAGCAACACGTGGCTGTCGGCGTTGCCAATAGACCTCCACTGACGCAACTTCTCTTGGCAAACAGGCACGTCCAAACCTGGATGCGACACAATCAACTTGTTGAGTTGCCGGTAGTCCAAACACGGGCGGACAGGGGTGGACTCCTTGTGCGTCTGGGCCACCGCCAACAAGGGCAACACAGCACCAGGCTCACCATGGACTGCTTGGTCATGGGGTACCAACCATCCATTGCGGATCCACATGTCCACTTCCTCGCAGAACTGTGACTCCTGGTCTGTTGACAGGCTATGCCGGGAATATTCACCAATGCCTGACCCGACTGGACGCGTGGGGGGTTCGTCTTTCCATGCCCACGTAAGCTCCCAGTAGCCAACATCAGCGCGCCAACGAACTGACCCATCCGCAGTGGTCAGAATGACATCTTCCCCGTCATGCTCCACGGTAACATGGCGTAGCAGCTGAGGCGAATCACCATCATCACTGCGGACGTCCGAACTGGGCACATCTGCGGAAGCTGAAGCTGCTTGACCGAAAGATGCTCCGACGAGCTTGGAGTCCGCGTACTTGAGGTCGACTCCGCCATGCTGCGATATCAGGTTGAGGCCCAGAAGCACATCCGCATTCACAACACTCAACTCCGGAACAATTGATACAGACACAGACGAGAAAGGCAGAAATACCGTCTCGTCCACCCGCTCGACATCCAGAACAGCCGAGCCCAATACCTTGAGTGTATTGCCGTCAACGGTGATGATATCAGGTGTTGACGTCGTCACCTCCAGTGCCAAGTCCTCTGCCAACTGACGAGACACCAACGTGTGTGTTGAGCACGAGTCGATGGCAGCAACACAACGTCGAAACGCCACCGCATCACAACGCTTCACAGGCAAGAAGATCCGTGGCAACGCTACTGCGGGCCCATCAATCTCCGACGCGACGCAGACATGGCCGACATCCTCACTCGCAGCTGCTCCAGCACACCTCTTCCGCTGGGGGCACGCACTGCGGACGTGGCCTCGCTCCTTGCAACCATAGCAAACAGGTTCGCCGGATGCTGGTGACTTAGGTAGCTGCGGGCAATTCCGCTGAATATGGCCGACCTTATTACACCGGTAACACAACACAGACCGCTTGCTAGGTCCGCTGCTACTAGACGACGTCGCTGCAAATGTCGCAGAACGTACACCCTGTACTGGTGCAGCCGACACCTGGGTTGCAGAAACCAACACGCGAACTTGATCCGCACACTGATCCACAGTCATACAGTGCAAGGCATGCTGGAGGCGCACCTGACATGCCAGCACCTGCGGAATGCCGAGCAGAAACTGCTCCAGGAGCACTGGGTCACACGACTTCCCTGACGAAGTGTCACGCGCTTCAATATGACCACTCTGGCGGAGAAACCTCCTCAAGTCGGCCAAGTAGACGTCAACGCTCTCTCCCCGACGAAGAGTTCTGGCCACAAACTTCTTATACGCCTCTGCTGGCGTGATGCAGAAAGCGGCTCGGAGCGCACCATGGACAACCTCCTCACTGGTCTGCTCGACGTCCGGCAGCGCACTCCAAACAGTGAACGCGTCCTTGTCTAGGAATAAAGGAAAGTGGTCCATTCTTTTAGCTTCCGACGTCCATTTCTGTATCCGTGACACCACGCGGAATTTCAGCAAGAACGCTTCCAGGTCGTCATCTCCTCCACGATACGGCCGCAACAAGGAATGTCCAGCAGACGACGCCATTACTACTGAAACAGGCAGTGAAATAACAAAATTAATACTCTCCGAGAACCTAACCACAAAGCGCCAACGGTCCACTCAAAACCGGGTTTCGGTACCACATTGTTGTGGAATTATCCACCACCAGACCAGCGCAAGGATATAAGTTGGACTATAATTATTAATTTCAATTCCAAAATGCACAAGAAGTTTACAGAAGAAAAAAGCACGACCTCGACCAGGCCAGAAGCAAGAAGAACTAAACACAAGATATTGAAAACCCTTCTCCTCAACAAGCTGCATCACGTACAACGGAAAACAACTGGCTGCACCAGCGCGTGCATCAGCGCGTGCACCAGCGCGTGTACCAGCACTGCACCAACGTGTGCACCAGCGAAATCAATATCGAAAGTACGTATCAATCATTACATTACGTACAACATGCGCAAGAGGGTTACTCTACTTCACAGCCCTGTACAGTACTGTGTTCTTTGGGGTGGTATGTGCTGCTTGATGTTCATTGTTATGTGTGTCATGTGACACATTTTGATTGCATGTTTGGTCTAATCTGTTCTGTTCCACTTTGCTCCTTTGCCAGCATTTCTCATTGAAGAGCACCAGTGTGGACAATCAGCCATATGCCCTGTCTCAAGTCTCGGTGAAAAAGGAGGTCAGGCACATCACACTGATTTTAATCTGCTGTTTGTTGTTTGCATTTGGGGATGGCATGAAGTTCTGAGATAAGGTGTACAGGGGACAGTACCGTTGTGAGATATGATCTGTAGTTACGTCAAGAGGGTGTCCTTGCTTTCATTATCCTCTCAATTTCTTCTTTGTGCCTGTCATAGCTTTGGTCTTATCCTTACTCACTTGAAATGATCCACTCTTTCTGATTGATTGTGTCAAATTGCAGCGTGACTGTGTATTGGTCTGTGTTGCTGCCATCAAACAATTTTGTTCCATTGAATGATTAAAGTTGCATGAAGTGTCATTCCGAATTGTTGTACTTGAAATGTTTTCTTCAATTGATTGTGCTTTGGGCTTGTGTTCTACAGGATGGCCACTCATATGCTGAAGTGGAACTTGCAAACAAGAATGGATCTGCAGTAAACTTCACGACTCCAGCTGGCTGTTTATCTGAGAAGGCTGCCGATAAGTCGGTGAGTACGGTTTCGGTATCAGCGTAATCTCCGCATCACCACATCCAGCTCGAGGAAATGTACATAGGTAGAAGTTTGACTCGACTCGAGAGGAGTGTTTCATATCAAGGTGTGATTGCATGGAACAGAGCACTATTGACTTTTCTCCTAATTCCATCTCTTCTACGCATTACATGACTGAAGTACCAGAAGTATATACAAGCCTTGCTTGATAGTTTAACATGTATGATGATGACAGCATAAGACAAGACGGAAGACGCACTGCGTTAAAAACAGTGTTCCTGACTGCAACCAGAAAGCGTTGGCAGAGACCTAGTCTCGCGACTATCTGAACCTCATGAGGTCAAGCAGAACGCTCAGATGGTCGCAAGGCTGGGACTCGACCAACAGTTTTTGGTTGCAGTCAGGAACACTGTTTTTAACGCAGTGTGTCCTCCGCGTTATCTCATGCTGTCATCATCATACATGTTAAAAAGTACTGGAAATACAGTGCTGCTCAATGGATTCCGATCGCATGAGTCAAGTACGTGCTGGGCTCTGTGCAGCCCTAGACCTGCGGACGCTGGGATGTGAACTGGTGCAGTACGCAAACTTGACTCACATGATCGGATTTCATTGAGCAGCACTGTACATGTACTTCTAGCACATCAGTACATATTATACTGCAGGTACCGGTTAATTACCGGTTTACAGTATAATTATCATTATTATGGTTACTGGTATACAGTGTAGTTATGGTTGATGCCATGATTGCCTACAAAGTAGTTACGGTATGGTTGCTGGTGGCATAATAATATTATCTTCATTATCTTTCTGACATGTTATGTGTGTTAATGCTGACAGTTCGTAATGACAGACTTCCACAGTGGTCTCCTTGCTCAGCTACTGCTTAGCCATAGCGCTGGTGATGTATGCATTATTGGACCTAAGGTGAGTGGTACATTGCACAGTAAGCTGTGGCATTCACTGTGCAGTAAACTATGGCATGCACTGTGCAGTAAACTATGGCATGCACTGTGCAGTAGCCAAGAACTCAGTGTACTGTTGTAGTTGAAGACCTTGCCTAGTACATGTATCTATATTTGGGAGAACCTTTGCACTGCTGTATGTGTTTGCATGAATGCATAGCTGTATGTGTTTGCATGAATGCATAGCTGTATGAGTGCATGTTTGATGTGCATGTACTAGTATAGTGTACGAGGTGAATTGCTATTTCTGGACATTGTACATTTCTGGACATTTCGAGTAAAATAATTTTTCGTTGCGTGTAGAGTCAAGCCAGTCAGGTTGATGAAGTTTTTTCTTGCCGTAGTTGACAGCTGGGCTGTTGTAGTTTCTCCTGGTGTCGGTGCCTTGTTGATAGCCTTTGCTTGTGAGGCATTTCAACAAGTTTTGTGGTACTATGTCGCATGAGAGTTTTGAATTTTGAGTAAAATAAGAAGTAATGGACGAATCGTTGGCTTCCCCATGTGCACTCCACTTCAGACACTGTATAGTCTTGGACCTGTTGGCTGGGAGTGTGAAGAGGCCAACTGCAGTCCACCAATAGAAAAAATAACAAAAATGGTGCATTATAGGATGCCTATTGACGCTATTTTACTTTCATGTCCAGAATTCCATACACTGAAATTTAGGCCAAAAAATTGGCCTGTCGAAAACGTTTTGCTATAAAGTCTCTGGGATCACAGCATGAGCAATTGTCACATATTTGGAAAGATGAAGGATTAGGCCATACAATAGATACAAAAAGATATGAAAAATGTAAAACACACAGTCAGTGGGGCTCTATTTTATTTTCATGTCCAGAAATTGCTATTCACCTCGTATGTACAGGATTTTGTCATATATTTGTGTAGGTACATGTACCTGTACACGCATGTGTGGTGTTTGTGTCTTTGTTTGACAGGGCTGTGGCAAGACTGCAGTGGCACGTTACTTTGCGGATGTTCTGCAGTATAACTGTGAATCAGTTCTGCTCTACCAGGTAAGCTACTACGAAGTACATGGAGATACACTTTACTGCAGGCAATCAAGCTCTTGAAATGGAATATTGTAGAAGACTAGCGTGGTTATTTATTTCCATGTTGGTTAGTTCTTGGGCTTGAAGTTCAGGATGTACTTAGTATTCAATTTACCCTATCGTAGGTTCTATTACATGTACATGTATGTGGTTCCATGTGTTTGTTCTGTCCCTGTTGAGCCTGTGTTATTATGCAGTGTTTGACTTCTAGCATGCTATCGTTATTGCTTGTGACTTGGTGCATCCGTGTGTGTGCACGTGAGTGCGTGCGTGTATGCATGCATTTGTACATACCGTGCATGTGCGCGCGCGTGTGTGTGTGTGTGTGCACGTGTGTGTGTACGTGTGTGTACGTGTGTGTGTATGTGTTCAGGACATGACGGCTAGAGACTTGCTACAGCAACGTATGACGCTGCCAAACGGTGACACATCATGGCGTCCGTCGCCCCTGGTAACTGCTGCTCTCCATGGTAACTTGGCCGTACTGGACGGTCTTCATCGCATCAATGCCGGAACACTGGCTGTACTACAGAGGTGAGCTGCTACTCACTGCTACCCTTCTACTTCTAAATTCCTCTTCTTGATAGTAGTTGATACTGATGTTATGCTTGTGTACACATGTGCATGCGTTGAGAGTATGTGTGGGTTTTGTGGATAATTGTAGATATTTGATAACACGCCTTGCACTGAAATCGGAACGGCTTGGCTGGTTGTGCAAGGTTATAGAGCAGTAGGAACACAGTGTAATATGTTCATACGAATACTCTTATGGAGAAGACAGCTGTCTCGCTGTCGCTAGAAGCATGTGTCAAGTGTGCGTATTGTCGTGCTGGCTGTTTAAGTGCAAGAAATGGGTGATACTTGACTGTAGATTGACTTAGTTTTGAAATGTTACGCACTATGGTTTTTATCCTAGACCGTCAGCATCTGCTACGTGTCGTCTTTGCGCCGCACATTGTACTAAGGAGATTTATTTGACTTGTAAGATCATAGATGTAATTCAGTTGTGTAAGTCAGTAACGCCTTGGGGTGCTGCTCTGATTTGTATGCAGGCTGCTGCATGATCGTGAGTTAAATCTGTACGATGGTACCAAGCTGTTGAGACACGATCGGTATGAGCACTTGAAGGAGCAACTTGGTGTGAGCGATGAGGAGATGGCCAAACGGTATGTGTTTTTGGCACAGTATGTTTGTGTTGTGTTCATTGGATTTCAAGCATTCAGCACACGTTTAGAACTGTTTAGTCCCTTTGAACATGCTTTGGCCAATACTAATACAGTCTACGTGCATGCCATTGACATCTATTCACACTACTACAGTGCTGGCAACTGAAATCCGACCCCTAGCGGTGCGTTCACATTCTAGCGGTCTCTATTTCGTAGTTTTACTATCCCGTGTTGGGTCTTTGCGATGTGAGCACCGCACCGCTCAGGGGTCGGATTTCAGTTGCCAGCACTGTAGTATTTAGAAAAGCGATCCTGTCAGCTTTTCTATTATTGTGTTCACAATGTGATTGCCCCCCTCCTCTCCATCACTGTTGAGGAGAGGGTCAGTTGACTGCCAAGTGGTCCGGTAGATGGGCTGCTGTGCCCCGGGTGATTGCATTGATGTTGCTGAATGTGCTGGGGCCTTAGTACAACTGCAACCGGTGTACATGTTCATGTCCTAGATGCATATAAGGCATAAGCACCATTAACCCAAGCCAATCTGCTTGTGAATGTGTACATAGTCACGAGTAACGACGGCCGTTTCTTTCTCGAGGATATTCTTGTCTTTGTGCTTGAGCAACTGAGTCACACTCTGAAGTTAAACGAAAGCGTTCTTGTTTAATGTTACAGAGGTGTGCGACCCATTCATCCTTCGTTCCGTGTTCTTGCACTGGCTGAACCCCCAGTACTAAACACACAGAAGGCACCATGGTTGAATCCCGAGTCACTCACTATGTTCATGTATCACTACATGAGACCACTGGATAGTAGAGAAGAGACACGCGTGCTCAAGGAGCTGGTGAGTTATGCTCTTAGCTAGTTGGATGTTTGTTTTTGTATAATCCGGCACCATTTGTGCTATGGACATTCTGCTGGATGGGGGAGGGTGCTGGTTAACAAATTTGATTTACTGTAAGACATGTATATATAACGAGGAAGCAAATCTAACGTTTTAACGGATGACATTTCTTCGTTATAATAAGATCCGTTGAGGCCGTACTGTTTCATATATGCTGTGTGTGGATATGGCAGAATACTGCAAGATCGTTAACATATCTTCTCGTTAACCTTTGAATTTTGGATAATCGTTAAATTTGCGACTCGTTATAATAACATGTGAGCCCCAGCCAGCAGAAACCTGAACATGTGTAATTTTTTCAAAAATTATTTTTTCCCTCGAAATTGTTTCTACACTATTAATCATTCAAGTTATCAAGTTTGATGACAATCTGATAAGCGAAAGCATGGAAAATAGAGTTTGAAGTCACACAGGTCAAGATTCCGTACAGTTGGCGCAGCATCCATGCCTAGTGATTCCATGCAAGTTGATCCTACAGTTTCTGATTGCGATGTGGAACAGGTACATGTAAGTAAATAGAATGCAAATCAGGCTTGCCCTCTTGGTGCTGCAGGCATGAGTTGTTCAGAAGTGTGACGATATTCCGTATACATCACTACCTTCTTTACAACACCAGAGTGCAAAACGCGGATGATTGGTGGCTGGCCTTCCAAATTGTGTTCAGGGACCTCTGTGCTGGCAGTTTGAGAGTTGTGACAAAGCTTGCCATACTGATAGATGTGCTCACCAATACCACAGACATCCACTCTCTTGCACACTTTCACTCAGACCATGATTTCAGCATAATTGTATTTCAATGATATGAGCGAATACTCGCGTTTTGTAGCACGTGAAGAAGTTGCCCCAAAGCGTTCAGCCGGTTTGAGTTTTTAGGGATCCCCTTTCTCATCACAGGCTGCAGCCAGCTTGGCGTCATCTGGCAAGGTAGAGCACTGATAATACTACGCTCTGTTTTGCGCCGTGAGAAGCCCTCCATCAGTGTCTGCAGCATCATTGTTGTCGATGTAGAAATACGGATCGCTCAGCGGGACGACATTCTGCTTCTCCTCGCAGTCGCTTTTACTCCAGCACTGACTATCGTCGCCACCAGTATCCAGTGTCGATTTTATGAGGGCTCTTCGTTGCTATGCATATGAGACTCGCCACTGCTGGACAAGCTCAGCAAGATCGCCACCAAACAAATAATTCCGATCGCGAACTAACTTTCAGCGCCGCTCCGTACAGGGAGTCTCGCGCTGACAACTCTGGACCTAAGTCTTTGTCGCGACACCTGTCGCCATCGCTGTGTCTAAACTCAACCTCCGTGTAACGAGCTCTCACCTACCGCTAAAATCAATTGACCAGAGACATTTGAAGACACTTGAAACTCCTTTGACAACAAAGACACCCACTCGATCGAAAAAGAATCTTCAAAAGCCAGCTCACTGCGCGTCCCAAACTTTGACGTCACATTTTGATGATTGATATCAAGTACACAAGTGCTGGTTTTCGCTGGCCGGGGCTCATGTCTTACAGTATTGGTGCAGCGGGCATGAATAGGTTGGTTCCTGAAAGTTATGTTCCTGACCGCCGTCATATCCACTCGTTTTGAACACAATAAAGCCTTGGTGAAATAACTGTTCAGCTCGTTCTGTTTATCGCAATTCTAAAACTGAAAATTATGCTGGTTTATTGAGGGTGCTGGTTTAAAAACGTGCTGGGACGAGTGTATATTACCGTACTGGCAATATATGTTGCCGCGTAACGCGTAACGCAGGGGGTGCGGCGTAACGCGCGACCAGGCTAGTGCGACAAATATTCGTTGAGTTCGTAACGCGCGTCCGGCGGGGTGCGGCGATCTTTTAATTGCAGTTTGCACTCCAAAAAAAGGCTGAAAACTGTGAAAGCACGTGTACCAGTGTACCGCGTGGTGAAAAGTCTCCAGCAGCAGTGATGGCTCGAGCAGCGATGACGACTCCAGCAGCAGTGATGACTAATGATAGCCACGGTGACTTTGTAATATGTTGTACACTCATTAACTGTGTGAGTGACAGTAGTTTTTGGAGGAAGCGCTCTTCCCCTATGTCACTTTCCTTTTGATGATCTTTTTGTGAACAGATCACTCTGATAGTTAAAATATACAGTCTTCTATTGATATCGTTGTCGCCCTTTGCCGTCGGGTTTGTAACAGTTGGATAGCAACTGAATTTCTGTGCCTTCAATGAGGATGAAAAGAAAAAATGATGCGGCAAAAGCAAAAAAATGATGCGGCAATAGCAAAAAAGTGATGCGGCAATAGCAAAAAAAGGACTGCGGCAATATAGAAACCTGTGTAACGGCTCCTGTGCGACTTTGCATGTAACGCCCTGCGTGCGGCAAACATGTGCCAATGTAACGCTTCATGGCCTCACTGCGGCAACATATATTGCCAGTACGGTACTGCGAGAAGATACTGTACTGGTTCTGGCTTTAGTTTGCCTATGTTGCATTGGTGATAAATACTTGTATGAGTAATGATAAGGTACTCTCTCTCTCTCTCTCTCTCTTTCTCTTTCTCTCATCCTCCTGGCAACTTGTGTTCAACCGGCTTTCTGTACTTACTTTAAAATGTGTGGCAATTATTGTTTAGGTTCCTGGCTGTGATGAATCTCAGCTCGGACAGCTGCTTCACTTCACGCAAGCTCTCCGCTCGAATCAGAAGAATGCCACCGTGAGTTTCACATGTCATGATGTCGGTACTCGGTAGTGCTCTGTGCAAAACTAACATTACCTTTTGGAAATAAGGTACACGTATGATTGAAATGTAATCCTCTACTGTTAGTTGATGTTTTACACGCAGCTCAGTGCTTGCATGGTGCTCTTCATCATGATCCGGGACATTACTGCTAGTGATTTCTAATGACGATTCGCTGTTCTTGTCAATGTCATTGCCCACTCCAGCTGGCATCTCTCAGTTCCTCGTTGTCTACTCGTCAGCTATTGCGTGTTGCCAAGCGCATGGAACAGTTTGGCTCTGAGGACATTCACTCAGCTGTTCACAAGGCATGTCTTTCTCAGTAAGTGATGACACTGACTATCATGAATCACGATGCGTATACCCCGTAATGTCGCGTATTAATGCCGGGCTTTTTCCTGTAGAAGCCGATGTCAGGGCGAGGCTTCTATTCAAGCCAGGTATTTCTATGTGACTGTGTATCAACACAAAAACCAGGCTTATGTGCCGACAGTGTATCATGAAAATCAGGCTTGTATTCAAAACAGGCTTCTATATGAGATAAGACACTACGGTATAGCACCTCTCAGCAGCATGCTGGATGCGGAGCAGGAGGGTGTGTTTGTGCGTGCGTATGTGATGCACATGCGCATGCTGCATGCTTACATGTGTGTACTTTTCTAGAGCTAAGGAAAGTTGGTTTTCTTGAAACATACCTCTACATTGTGGTGTGGTTCAACAGATTTTTGCCGCAGATGGCTCGTGGAATTCTTAATGATCATCTTGAGGCTGAGGACATTGTTCCAGTAGATAGAAGTTCAACCGAAGATGCCAGCACCACTGCCACAGAGCCATGTAAGCATCACGAGTTCATGCACATTGTACATGTTGTCTGTGTCCTATTGTAGTGTTTGATTAGTATTTAGCACACTAGTGAAGATGGTGATCGGTAAGGGTTGTCTGTGCAGCAGTGTCTCATTACACTTCTACTTTCATATCGGGACCGCCTACAATTTGGAAGGGTGTTTTCTATGTGCACTATGCAGGGGCGAAGGAAGATGGCTCGCTGCGGATTGGTCGCACAACAGTGGCACTCTTGCCCAATGAGAATCAAGTGAAAGTGCCTGATGTGCTGTTCTATGACAATCCACAACACACACGTGTCATGGAGGAGATGCTCAAGGACTTTGCTCTGGGTGAGCATCTTCTACTTGTTGGCAACCAGGTCAGTTCAACTTGTTAACTCGTTTCGGCGGAGAAGAGTGCACCATTGTACTTCAAGGCCTTTCGTTTCCCTACTCCTCAGTGATTTGTTCCTTGGATCCATGTGAGGAGTTTTGATTGGAGCAATACGTGCAATACAGTCCAGCAGTTTGTATTCAGGCGTTGAAAACGACTGTCTGTCTGCTGGTACTTCATGAGAACGCATGCCATGTTGTTGCTTATGGTAGAATTACTGTTGGCGTTGAATTTCTGGTCAGGCAGATGGATTGCGAGCACTGAGCAGACCATGCTGTGTGCTACTGCACATGCTGCGCTACAGCCCATGTGTTCATTGTAATCTGCTCCAAATTGCTCAGGTACAATGTACATGACTGTACTTGCAGTACCATATTCCATGCTCCTAGCCTATGTAAAGCACATACGTTATAGCACAGTTATGGACACATTGATCCTTGAGCCATTGGTGTTGGTAATGGATATGGAAAAGTTGACCTGACTACTCCTGGTGCCGGCTGTGAAGTTAACTGACATTCATGTTAATGAACAATTGAACATATTGGTTTTCCGGCTGTTTGTGACTGTGTGCTGTGCACAGGGCGTGGGCAAGAATAAGCTAGTGGATCGGTTCTTGTACTTGTTGGATCGTCCCCGTGAATACATACAGTTGCATCGGTAAGGTATTTTTGACATTTGTGTTATGCTGTTATTACTGACAATATTTATAAGAAAAAAAAAAGGACCGAAGAGCGACAAGTTACGCTATAATATCCACTAACAACACCAGTTACTTTACAATCTTTCTCTCATAAATTAATTCTTGGCTCTCTACTCGAGTCTAATTGTCAATATGGTTAGTTTACTTAGTCATGTGTATTTGAAGATGTGCGTGTGTGTGTGTGTTTGAAAGTGTGTATGTGTGTGTGTGTGTGTGTGTGTCTCTCTCTCTCTCTCTCTCTCTCTCTCTCTCTCTCTCTCTCTCTCTCTCTCTCTCTCTCTCTCTCTCTCTCTCTCTCTCTCTCTCTCTCTCTCTCTCGGTTTGTGTCTCTGTTTGTGTACGTGTCTCTATCTCTGTCTGTGTGTTGGTGCGTGTATGTGTGGCTGTGCTTGTGTTTATGTGCGTATATTCGGGTGAGTGTGTGCCTGCATGAATTTCTAACATGTAGAAACTTGACTGTGATTTCTCTGTTTACTGTTGTAGAGATACTACAGTTCAGTCCTTGACCTTGCAGCCCACTGTCAAAGATGGCCGTATTCTATACGAGGACTCACCCATGGTTAGTTGTTAGTTGTTGTGATACTGGCACTGTGGCTTGTGCAACGAGTGTGCACTGTTCAAAGAGTGGGTAGATGAGAAGGGAAGGTAATTGGATCAAGCAGAAAGGACAATGGATCGCAGAATTTCTGCTGTCCAGATAGTGTAGAGTGACCTGGAGGTGAAGCAAAGGTCTAGAGTTCCTTAACAAAGCTTCCGAATGATTCTTTATGGTGTTTTTAGAAGAATAATCGGAATCACTGATGATAGGAACGAGAAAATCGATTCTGGGTTTTCAATAATATTTTTGTTATAAAATACACAGTAATACCTGTCAAACAAGTAACGTAGTTGCGTGATGTCTGCGGCCTTCATCCTATTCATAGCTATATTAATAATCGGAATTGTTTGATTATTCCTCGGGGTGAGCGAGTTATGGATAATCAAAATAGTCGTATGAAGTGGCAGTATTCGAAACTATAATGGGGGGGGGGTCCCTTTGCAGAATACTGAAAAGCAAAGTTCCGCTTGGAACAGTCTGGAGAAGCTCCGAGATCATGAAACTACTGTAAGGTGCGATGCAAGCTTTGGTCGAGCACGCTGAAGTACAATGGTGGTACGACAAGTTCGATGCGTGCCTGCTCGAAGCTGCATATGCATGAGAACAAGAAACGGATTTGTGGCCCTCCTCGCGTAATAGTGATTTTCTGGTCTACGTTACGGGAACGCGAAGGTGCCTGGGAACACTCTTCGCGTCTGTGTAACGTAAAGGAACCTGTTCTGCTATACGTTCACGTAGAGAAATCACGTGGAATATGTACTGGGAATTTCCCCTTCCAGATTTGGCAGTTTTATTCGCCCAATTTGAATGATACCCAGCACATCTGTACGCATTTTCTTTGCATGTGCCACAACGTAGAGAACCTCATCGTCGCGTAGAATCTGGACCCCAAACACCTGTTCTCTAGGTGATTTCTCTACGCTTCACGCATAGCAGAACCTCACATCCACTGGTCATTACCTTTATACCAGCTGACTATTCTTTTCTGTTATTGTTACGGAGATTTAGCAAGACGAATTTCGCGTTCGTGTTCGCACTCCAATGAAAGTCGAACTCAGTGACGAAATTCGCGTTGTGATATGATGAGGATTAGCAAACAGAATTCACACTTGTATGACGCTGACAGGTCATACATGTGTGAACAGTACAGCATGGTAAATTCATGACTGTCCTGACACGAATTCGTAAGTCGTGTTTCGGCTGCTTTTCTGAACGAAAAGTGCGCGAAAGTTCGCTTTTTCTTTACATCCACCACCAGCAAGCACTACATCCCATGCATCAAGGAGAATTGCCTTTGTGTTGTGTTGACTCTGGAGTAGTTTCCTGCGCTCTTCATCTCCCGACACACACACTCTACATCTCAGCTGAGTCTCTACATGTGGTCTTCCACGCTTTGCTCGCTGTGCTTCCAGCTGCGGGTCTGGAACTGCACAGGTAGACTGGGAAGCTTCGAGGAGCCTCCGCTTCAGGCGAAACTGCTCTGCCAAGGTGTGTGAAGAAGCTGCATGGAACGCCCACTCTACATCTCAGCTGATTCTCCACAGGCGGTCTTCCACGCTTTGCTCGCTGTGCTTCCAGCTCCGGGTCTTGAACTGCACAAGTAGACTGGGAAGCTTCGGGAAGCCTCCGCTTCAGGCGAAACTGTTCTGCCAAGGTGTGTGAAGAAGCTGTATGGAACACACACTCTACATCTCAGCTGATTCTCCACAGGTGGTCTTCCACGCTTTGCTCGCTGTCCTTCTAGCTCCGGATCTGGGACTGCACAGGTAGACTGGGAAGCTTCGGGGAGCCTCCGCTTCAGGCGAAACTGTTCTGCCAAGGTGTGTGAAGAAGCTGTATGGAACACACCCTCTACATCTCAGCTGATTCTCCACAGGTGGTCTTCCACGCTTTGCTCGTTGTGCTTCCAGCTCCGGGTCTGGAACTGCACAAGTAGACGGGTAAGCTTCGGGAAGCCTCCGCTTCAGGCGAAACTGTTCTGCCAAGGTGTGTGAAGAAGCTACACGGAAATCAAAGACAACATATTGTAACAAGACGACACCCACAAATGGGCAGTGATAAAGTGGGATTCTGAGACATTACATGTACATGTTGACATGAATAATGTGCCCTGCAGGTCACACAGTCACTCCATACTGCTTTGCAAAATCAGACCAGATGAGCCTGCTGGGAGGTTCTTGGCGAAGTTGGTCGACTAGGTCTCCAGGCTGTCATGTAGGTCGTCCGAATGCTTGGCATTCGTAGCAAGGTGGGTTTGTCCTTCCATCAACTTCAGCATATTACTCACCCGTTCTGCGGCATGCTGAACGCCCTGGTGCGGAGTCTGCATGTGGGAGAACAACACGGGCGATATCAATACTGATCACTGACAGACAATTGATTTTGGAAATCACGGAGTACAGTGAAATACGTCACCACATACCTGGTGAAGGGGGATGTCACCGCACGCTAAGGATACCCGCTCACTTGCCTCCACAGCATCGCTTGGGACAGCCGGACTTTCATTGGTTGTGTGTTACTCTGGAGCACTGCAGGTGAACTCCAAGTCCAGGCAAAGCCGAGAGACTTCAGGTACTGTGCGGGGAGCGATTCCCAGCTGTGCTCGCTGACGAGCCAGAAGATGGCAAACATGTGTTTGCATGGGAGGCCATGATGGTACCAGTCTTTGCAAGGTTAATGGTTACCCATGCCTTTTCATCCCTTGACTTACCGATGCAATACTGCTCTACTGACTGCTCACGCTGAAGACCATGACATTCTGGGGCCTGTTATGCTGGTACGAGGGAATATCATCTTTGTACTTCCTGTACATGCTGGATTGTTGGATGTTGCGGAGCAGAAACGTCCGCTTCTGCTGCGGCGAAAACTGCTCGATGATCTCTTCTTCCCATTTGATGCGCTCAGGAAGGAATATTTTAGAAACTTTTGGTTTCTGCTCTGGCAAGAACTTCTCGATGAGGATGTTGAATACCTCACTCAATGTTCTCTTCTTCCCATTTGATGCGCTCTGGAAGGAATGTTTTAACATCTTAAGCATAACAATACATTAAAACTTGCTTTTGGAGAAGTGATTTGTGGCCAGGATTCACATCTGGTGCCTGAAGAGTTGCAATGAAGGCACCTTTCAGTTTGAGCAAACGCTGCAACATGACTGTAATGAGGACTAGTCCACCTTGTGATGTAGTCCACAGTCCTGGATCACTTTCAAGCTTGTGCCATGCCGGTAGGCTATTAGGCTTAGCCGTTCCATGGCCTGCGCGCTATACAGTAACAGCACCTGGTATGATCTACCTAGGCAAACTTCACTGTCCACTGTCTTTGTGGAGTGGTAGATATTCTGTTGTCCTAGTCAAGGGATGCTGTAAATTACAGTGATGCAAGTTGGTGATGCAAGTTTGTAATACTTGTGTGCGAAACGAGCAAACTCAAGTATTAATCAGCTACTTTTGTACTCACACAGTTCATTGTGCTAAAAATCTTATCTTTGTCTTTCTGCTGCTGCTGCTGCTGCTGCGGCTCCTGTTCCTGCTGCTGCTGCCGCCGCTGCCGCCGCTGCTGCTGGTGTTTTTGCTGCTGTTTGTTGTGTTTGTTGTTGTTGTTGTTGTTGTTGTTGTTGTTGTTGTTGTTGTTGTTGTTGTTGTTGTTGCTGTTGTTGTTGTTGTTGTTGTTGTTGTTGTTGTTGTTGTGTTGTTTGTGTTGTGTTGTCTGGTAGGTTGTAGCCTTGCAGCGTGGACATGTTCTGGTGGTCGATGAAGCAGACAAAGCACCAACGCATGTTACCTGTATTCTCAAGGCTCTCGTGGAAAGCGGAGAAATGATTTTGGGCGACGGCCGTCGTGTTGTCACCGGTATGCCACTGCTGTGAATGTCGTGTTGTCACTGGTATGCCACTGCTGTGAATGTCGTGTTGTCACCGGTATGCCACTGCTGTGAATGTCGTGTTGTCACCGGTATGCCACTGCTGTGAATGTCGTGTTGTCACCGGTATGCCACTGCTGTGAATGTCGTGTTGTCACCGGTATGCCACTGCTGTGAATGTCGTGTTGTCACCGGTATGCCACTGCTGTGAATGTCGTGTTGTCACCGGTATGCCACTGCTGTGAATGTCGTGTTGTCACTGGTATGCCACTGCTGTGAATGTCGTGTTGTCACCGGTATGCCACTGCTGTGAATGTCGTGTTGTCACCGGTATGCCACTGCTGTGAATGTCGTGTTGTCACCGGTATGTCACTGCTGTGAATGTCGTGTTGTCACCGGTATGCCACTGCTGTGAATGTCGTGTTGTCACCGGTATGCCACTGCTGTGAATGTCGTGTTGTCACCGGTATGCCACTGCTGTATGTCGTGTTGTCACCGGTATGCCACTGCTGTGAATGTCGTGTTGTCACCGGTATGCCACTGCTGTGAATTGTACAGTAACGTTGGTTTAGATTCTGCTTGTGTTTGGTGATTGTTGAGGAAGCATTTGATAAACATGCAGTGCTGGCAACTACCATAGGGTCTAGCCAATTGCCTTAGGGGATAGTACTGCTACTTCTGTATGCATCATGCTCTCACTTTATGTTGTGCAGCTGAGTGTATGGTGATTGTGTGCTGTATTTGTTGGGTTTATGGTGCTACATGTACAATATGTAACATGTATGTCACTACAAAGTACAATTGCAGTGGATTCATGATTTCTTTGCTCTTGTTTGATGACTTCTTGATCTAGGTGGTGTTGCAGTGCCCAAGGATCTAGACAATGTGATTGTGGCACATCCCAACTTCCGTCTCATTGTCCTTGCTAACCGTCCGGGATTCCCTTTCCTTGGTAATGACTTCTTTGCCTCGCTCGGCGACATGTTCAGCTGCCATGCAATCGGCAATCCAGACATGCTGTCAGAACTAGCTATGCTGCGCCAGTACGGCCCTGATGTGCCTGGGGATATCCTCTCCAAGCTAGTTTCGGCATTCTCTGAGCTGCGCGGACTGGCGGATGATGGCTTAATCTCCTACCCGTACAGCACTCGTGAAGTCGTCAATATTGTCAAGCATCTGCAGGTATAGTGTACAACTGTATGTTACAGAGTTACACATTGTAAATAATCTGTAGCCCTCACCAGCATGGCACTTCAGTCATGCATCTATGTCTATGTGCATTGCGAATTGCCAGCAACGTGCCATCAAGAGTGCATGAAACCAAGAATGTGCAGCTCAAAATGGCTTACTGTTACAAAATTCCTGGACTAGTGTTGGCAAGCAGGATCCAAGCAGGTCTCCTGCCGCAGAACTACAGCTCTGCTGTGCGCACTATACTAATTTCCATTGCATATCTGGACCAACTGGGATGTAGTCTAGGAAATTTGCCATCACACACACCCATGCAGAAAAACAGAAGCCGCACGCTCTGGGTTTCATGTAGTCTTCTGCCAATTCTAGATTGCATATTGATATGCGTCGGTTTAGTAGTTTGGATGGGTCTGCTGTAAAAGACAGCCTGTACTGTCTTGCTGTGGAAATGATATGCCGTGTAGTGTACCCAATGTTAGCTTTATAGCTCCATTCTCATCATGACATCAATAGTGACTACTTGTACAGCATCGCTAATTTGTACTATTGTTGTATTGTAGTACATGCGCCATTGCATGCTTATTCCCCTGTTTGGGCCTACTGCTTGTTGATGGTATTACCTGTATAGAAATTCCACGAGGAAGGACTGCCGATGGTGGTGCGCAACGTCTTTGACTTTGATCGCCATCAGCCGGAGCTTCAAGAGCAACTGATCAGTATCCTACAGAAGCATGGCATTCCGCTGGGAGTTGAGAAAGATGGTGTGAAGACATCCAAGAAGTAAGTGCTCACCTGGCCAATGGTCGTCTACTGCATGTGCATGTATTCCTGGTCCTTACCCTGTTGCTACATCCTCAATGACACTACTGTACATCCTGCTGCTACACTTGTAACTTCTACTTCGAGTAACAATAAAGTTGGCATCTAACTTTGTTCACATTGTTCCTGCTTTGCATGTTAAGTAATGAGTCTAAAACACTTGGTTATCAGAAATGCTGCTGGTATACGTAGAAGATCATGCAATTTTATGATTCTTCCCTACATGTGTGCTTTTCTTCGCCTTGTGCCAGGTTCCCCCTCCCAGTGCCATCATTTGCTGGTCGGTTCTTCCGCGGCTCTGCTGGCCAGGAGGTCACGTGGCAAGAAAAACCTCTAAGCATTCAGGTACGGCGCAATGGCGAGGAAACATCCCTATGAAAAAACTCACATGCACAACACATACACTCATGCACTGCTCTGTTCTGCTGCTAGCTCTGTAGATCTACTGCTATGATTGTGCAATGTGTGCATGACCATGTCAAAGTGTGTCACGTTGGTCATCTGCAAAGGTCAAGCTGACCTGAAGTGGCATCAACGCTAGCTTGGCAATGTGACCAAACATGTTTCAGCTCCATTTGGCTTCCAAGATGACACAGTTGTGTGACTGGTATTATCAGCTGGGCACTTTGTCCACCGATGCTTGGTCACAGTGGCCGATGGTGGCTTTGGATGTGTTACCGTGACTGCTCACTGATTCACTTGTGTGACTTCATCGCTGAGGGTTACAGTGTGCTGTTTGGACCAGAACATGCTGTATCTTTTCATCAGTATCGTGGCAATTAACCAATGCAAACCTAGGACATGTTAGTTACGCTTACAATTCTCGAAATTCGAGACTGAATTCCTATTTATACCTCAAGAAGTAGTGCGCCTATTTATTAATTTGTTTGCATGTTTAGACTTGAATGCCAACTAGGTATTCTTGAGCTTAGAATGATGCACCTGGCTACATTCTTGCAATCCCCTGCTACATTCTGCTTCTTGTACATGTGCATGTACCGGTACTGGTACTTGGCATGCACTGTAAAGCTGATTTCGTTTACACAACTGCCATGCTGATTGCTGGAGTTGCTCTTTCTTGACTTGACTGTCCTTTGAGTCAAAGTCTACATGATTCAACGCCCACTGTCCATTTTCTTTCTCCTTCCTTTCTCATTAAGTCATCCAATCTCTGGTTGAAAACCTTCTCGTCATTTGTGTAGAAATTCTGAATCGAACTTTCTGCCCACTAAGAGTCTGTTGACTCAGCAAATTGTGTACACTACGAAGTATGATGTGATATGTGTTTGTGGTCTTTGTGTGTGTGTGTGTGTTGCTGTATGTATGTGTACTGTCCATGGTGTAGTCTGAGCTTCACACAGTAATGTGTTGCTGCTCTCAACCTACACACTGATATCTATGTAGAGTCTCATCGGGAAATCTTACTGCACCGTGCCTAGCTTAGTGTTGTTGTTGTTGTTGTTGTTGTTGTTGTTGTTGTTGTTGTTGTTGTTGTTGTTGTTGTTGTTGTTGTTGTTGTTGTTGTTGTTGTTGTTGTTGTTGTTGTTGTTGTTGTTGTTGTTGTTGTTGTTGTTGTTGTTGTTGTTTGCTTGGTTGGCCTGTGGGGTTGAGGTATGCGTTGGTGGGGTGGTCATGTGCAGTGGTTAGGCTCAGCGGTATTACTTACATGTCTGAGAAAACCATTCCGGGCTGTTTTGTGAAGCCAATAAACTACACCACTGCGTCTGGGCCTGTAAAACCAACAACACCCACAGTTTGTGTTGGAACTCCAGTACTTAAAGTAAATTGCACTGTGTTTGAAATCGCACTGTGTTTGAAATCGCACTGTGTTTGTGTTGAAATTACGGTAAATCACTCTGTGTTTGTGTTGTAACTCCAGTAAATCACACTGTGTTTGTAACATGCTAGGGAGATGAGGTGTGTCCTGCCACAGTGATTGACCTGGACCGGGATCATACCCGCACCAAGCGCTTCTCGGAGAAGTTTGTCAGCTTCAACTTGCCCCTGTCCGGCTCTTCACGCTCTGTCAGTGTCAGCTCAGTACAAAGTAAGTACATGTAGTTGACCTGTTTGATTTGTCTACCTCTGTGTGTGTGTGTGATTGTTGCCTGATGATTGCGTAAGCATGAAACTCAGAGTAGCAACAAACAAGCCTTGCCCATGTTGTTGTTCTGTGTCTACCTTATCTCTGTGCTCTATTGTTTTAACACAGGAAACTTACATTGTATGTGTGACTGTGTTGTTGTTGTTGATTTGTTTTCATTGTTCTTTCATCATCTCTCATGGCCTGTGGCAATTACATTATTGTGCTGTTGCATGTGGTTTATTGTGATGATGCACCAGCGTCTGTATTTGTGCTACAGGAATATTTTAATTGTGTTCATTATTGTTGTGCCTGTCGTGGAGTATGGTGTGTGTAGATGTGTATGGATTTTGAAATATGCTGTGTGCATTGTGGCCCAACAGTTTTGTCTTTGATGTGTTTCTCTGCCCTCCCATTGCTTGCTTGTATGATAGTGTATTGGTGTTGTAATGATAGTGTATTTATTGGTGTTGTAACTTTAAAGGTGCTGTAATGGTGTTATGTGCTGGTCTTCTGTTCATACAGAGGATCCCAGTGATCAGGTGTACATCGCTACGTCCTCACCGTCAGCACTCTACTCCATGTCTCTGCATGGCAAGACGGCAAAGTGCTTTGAGCTCTACGACTACTTCCCACAGCTCAGCTGGACGCAGACGCTGGAGTTGAGTGTTGTGGGGTTGCAGAATAGTGTCAGCGGTGATGTCATCGTACACGAGGCATCTGTAAGCTAATACTGATGACTTCTTGCAAGACAGTTTGGTAGTGGCAAGTGCCAGTCTTCCCTTCTGTGGATTTGCTGACCAATCACATTTACGACGGCACCTCTTCTGTTTGTTACATACACAAATCGATGACTTTCTGTCTGTCATTCTTGCCACTACAGAAGGGTGAACTGCTGCTGATCAATGTGGACAAGGAGTCTGTGAAGTCTATTGCCTTCAGGGACGATGCTACCGAGTCGATTGACATGGATGAACGCATTCGCTCCCGCCAGAAAACTGGAAAGGTAATCTCCGAGTTCTGCTTTGTATAGTTGGCGTATTTGAGCATGCCATTCATTCAGTCACAGGCCGTCCTACAACACACCTGTGCACTTTGTTTTCTACTAGGACCATATAAGGCCCCTATCTCCCTCTGCCCATGTTAACCTCAATGTTTCCAACCTCTATCCACGCATACATCCCTCCGTCTATCCGTTCGTTCATGTGTCTATCCGTCCTTCTATTCTTCCAACTACCCGTCTCACACTTCATCTACATCATTACACATTGATTTGTGTCCTCTCCCCCTACCACCCCCCCCCCCCCCCCCCCCCCCCAACACATACACCTCAGACATCATACCTGCCCATCGTGGAAGCGATGATAGCGAACAGCTATGTTAGACATAGCAACACACATATACACACACACACATACACACACACACACATACACACACATGCATGCGCACATACACACACGCCCGCACACATACACAAGGGTTACTTGCTCACTCACGCTCCTGCTCACATCTTTATTTGTGTGTTTATGTGTCTGTCTTGTTCTGTTGTGCAGAGTTTTATTTGCGGCGACTTTACTGCCGATGATATTGTCTACGTGTACACAGCTGGCAGGTTAGTTGTATGCTGCATGTGTGTGCTACTTGTATATGTATATGATATGCTTCTGTAAATACTAATCTACGTCATGTGCTCACGTGAAGTTGATATCAGTGGTAATACTTGTACTGCCTATATCTCATGTTCATTTTTGACGTCGAGTGTCAGAGGCTGTAATGTCCAGGGGCTGCGATGACCACAACTGTGCTGTCAAACTAAGTTTCAATCCGATGAGATAGGCATGCCCTCTATTTGTTTGTTTGTCCTCTTGAACCTACAGTAATGCTGTTGACATGATCAATGTACTGGATGCCAGTCGACAATCGCTAGAACTGCCCTTCCCCATCAAGTCAGTTGTTTTCCATGACAAGTCATCATGGCTGGTCACGGCTGCGGATGGGAGGTATGGTTTTGGACATTTCGATGTGCATCCAAGTCTGGGTTTGCTTATGCCTGTGCTGGCTCGCTGCTTGTCACTTCCCTTTTGATGTTCCTGTGTTGATCATACGCTGTTGTATTGATCGTGTGACATTGCTTTGTCGATCATGTGATGTGGCTGTGTCGATCATGTGACATTGCTGTGTTGATCATGCGACGTTGCTGTGTTGATCATGGTTCTGTGTATCTGTTCTCTGATGTAACACGCATACGCATGCAGCGTCCATAGTTTGACGGGTGATGCGTATCTGCCATCTCAACTATCACCACTACACGCCGAAGGAGATGAAAGAGGTATGTCTAGCTCTGAATGGTGACTCTGTGAACTGTTATGTTGATATGATCAACATCACAGTCTTCACATTATCCAGAATAGCACGGTGTGATCTGAGCCATTCTGTAACTCCCAGCTCATGCATCATGGCCAGTCATTCTTTAACTCCTAGCTCATGGCCAGTCATTCTGTAACTCCCAGCTCATGGCCAGTCATTCTAATACTCCTAGCTCATGGCCAGTCATTCTAATACTCCCAGCTCATGGCCAGTCATTCTGGAACTCCCAGCTCATGGCCAGTCATTCTAATACTCCTAGCTCATGGCCAGTCATTCTAATACTCCCAACTCCTAGCTCCTTCACAGCAGTGGAGTACAGTACTACTAGTACAATCATGTCACTGGAACAGCGTGTGACACACCAGTTCGCTTTTCCAGAGTGTACTGATATTTCCATGTGGACACATGACAGATAAGAACAGGAAATATGTATGGCGGAAGTGCGGCCCTCACACTTTCCAAGCTTGTCTTTATGTTGGTGCTGCCACCAGATTTTCAACCGTTGTCTCGGTTACGGTGTCTCGTTAACGGGGAGCCGGGTTGTGGCTGCCAGAATCCCACGATGACGTGTATCTGTTGTTCGTCTTTGTCGCTGTAGAGGCTATAGTTGTTCTGAATACTGTTTTTTTGTGTTTTTGCTGTTGCTGTTATTGCCATCTCTCCTGTTGCTGCTGTTCTTGTTCTTGTACGTGTACTTGTACCAAGAGTCTATAACCCCAAGAGTGTGCAATTGGGGTCTGGCTGCTGTAGGCCCACTGCGCGGCGGAATTCCAACATTACATCATGCCGCTGAGGCACAGCTGTACAAATCTCCGCATTCCGCGGTGCTTGGAACCAGGGAGTAGTACAAGCGCAACGAACGTGTACGTCATTTTTGACGTAATGTTGGAATTCCGCCGCGCGGATCCCCATGTACAGAGTTGCACACTCTTGGGGTCATGGACTCTTGCTTGTACTTATTCTTGTTGTCATCGTTGACACTGCTGCTGCTGCTGCTGCTGCTGCTGCTGCTCTTGTTGTTCCAGGTCTGATACCATCGGGCATAGTCCCAGCCTGGATTGGTCCAGCTGCTAGCAATGCCAGCTTGTCTTCCACCACGAACATTGCTACCAATGACAAGGGCCACATCATGCAACTGACCAACATGTCATCCATGGATCCAGCTGTAAGTTCCACTGTGGCGTATTTCACTGCTGATGTTGCTGTCAAGCCCAATCTAAGCCCAATCTAGCCAATCGATGCTGTTACATTACTTAGACTGCTCATGGAGAGGGTATGCACATACTGGGTAGTGTCCCTCGCAGCCTGTAGAGTATCCATCGCTATTCGATACCTATGGGTTCTTGTTCTGCTATCTGCTATCAGCTGATCTGCGGGGAAAGCCATGAAATGACATAGTAGACATGTAGCTCTTCCATTTTACCTCAATTCTGGATTGGATGTGTCTTCTCTTCTTTTATGTGTGCATTGGTATTCGCTCGACGACAGAACCCAGTTGAAGTTCATCACGTGTTGCCAGTTACTCAAGCCACCGTTCCTCCACTGTGGCTACCAGAATCCCAGCTGTTGGTTCAAGTTGTGCCGGAGGCTCCGGCCTCTCAGCCAGCCGTGTCCCAGGACTCGGCGAGTGATTCCACTGTCGCAACCGCTGCATCAGCAAAGCCTCCTGCAGCACGTCTTGTCAGGGGCAGGCACTTGCGGGTGGTTGATTTCCAGCAGCAGTCTGTGCGCTACATGCAACTGACATCACGGCGAGGTGATGGTCAGCAAGCTACCCCAGCAGCATTCAGTAGTAAACCTCGCTTACCTGTGGCTACGACGGGCTTGAGCAGCGGTGATGTCCTTACAGTGCAGAGTGATGGTACTGTTGACCTATTTCAAATTGCTGCTGATAAACTAGAGAGGTAAGCAATACAGCATTTCTCTGCTAATGAGGCGAATAAAACGAATATCATATTTCCGGGAGTATAAGCCGCACCCCCGCCCCACCCCCTTTTTGCCACGAAATACAGACATCTATCCTACTTCGAAGTATTAATTTATCACCATTAATTTGATCATCGGAGTATAAGCCGCACTCCCCCTTTTTGGGTGAATTTTGAGTGTTCAAAGTGCGGCTTATACTCCGGAAAATACGGTACCATAAATCACAAACCAGCTATGTCCAAGGGCCATAACTGATTTGTGACCTGTAAGTGAGGATAGCAAAGAAGCTCATGCTAGGGGAATATTGATAGTTTGCGTGCCGGTATATAGCTTCTTTTGTTTTGATGGTTGTTTTGTTATTCCATGTAGATCCTTGAGTGAATGGCAAAAGATGGTTGGTTTGGCTACCGCCAGGAAACTACAGGTATGTTGGCTTATCCTCGAGATGGTTGAGCTGAGCTAAGCTGGGCTAAGCTGAGATAGGCTAAGCTGAGCTAGGCTGAACTAGGCTAAGCTGAGCTAGGCTAAGCTGAATACAGGATAACTATACTAGTTCTGGCTTCTAGTCTGCATCTCTATGGCTGGATTGTTTTTCAAGCAGTCTACTCTTTAGTGTATCACTATGCCTGGATTCATTAGTCAGCACTGCATACTGTAAACCGCCCAATGTGGGCGTCACTAAATTTTTGCGATCTCTTGGAACCAGTGAGTTTACGATGGCAAATGTTCGCGGAGCACTGTGGCCACACAAATACACCCACTGTTGAAGTTTGATTTCACGGTGGCTAATATTTGCGTTATACTCTTCTCGCAAAATTAGCAAACATGAATACGTCGCAAACAGTAGGCAGTTTACAGTATCCACTATGGCAAGTGTGACCAGCGACCAGACTGCGTGTATGCGTATGCTGTCGTGTACATGCATGGTGTATAACTATGAATGTGTGCTCACTGGGTGGCTTAGATCAACTACAATATGAAGGATGGCCAGATCAAAACACGGGGCAAGATGGACGGGAAAGGAAAGGACAAGAAGGGCGTGGATGCTAAGGGCAAGCCTCTTACCAAGCCCAAACATGGCAAGGTAAGGAAGGTGATCAATGTAAATACATGTACTGCCACCGGTGTAAGAGTGTGCTTTGTCCTCCTACCCTCCTTTGTGTAGAACCCTGCAAGGGTCTAGTGGAATCTCTTTCAGCAAGTCTCAAGACATGGTTGGCTGATACATGTAGTTATCTCTAGTCTAGTGTATTGGTGAGAGAAAGAAAAAAAGAGCAAGAGATGAAGCTTTCAGGTGGTAGAGGGAAATGTATTGGTGCCCGTGTGTGTGTGTGTGTGTGTGTGTGTGTGTGTGTGTGTTTGTGTGTGTTTGTTTGTTTGCTTGCATATGTAACTGGTAGGTTGATGCAAACAATGCACCGCACGTTGGTGGAAACCAATGGGCAGGTGGTACAGGTGGTCGTGATACAGCCGGTCTTGGTGGTGTCGGAGGACCGTATCGCTTGGATGCTGGTCATGATGTCCACCAAGTGCCTGACGAAGTGAAGGAAGCAGTTCCGCGTGAGGTAAGCAGTGATATACCGTAAAAGTCCGTAAATAAGTACGTATTTACTTTCGAATTTAGTGACCACACCCGTACTAACTTTCGGGCGGGTACTGACTTTCGGGCACGAACTAACTTTCGGACCTGACTTGTGTGTAGTGGAGAAGTCATTTTCATGTTGATGTACATGCTACACGCTGCATGTGCGCACCGTACCGGTACTTATTTCGGGCAGTATGTTTATCGGGCTTGACTTGACTTCAACAGACAGAGCCAAAAGAATGAAGGGGGTATTTCTTTCGGGCAGGTACTTATTTACGGACTTTTACGGTAGTACCTTAGTCATTGTATACACATAATTTCCCTTGAAGCCTATCCCCTGATAGGCATGCAAGTTTACAAACAGAGCTGGACATATTGTCGCACTGCTTTGCATTGAGGAAAGAGTGCTGGGCAACAGCCAATACAATGCTCTGCTTTCAATACCTGCACTCCTTGTTGTTCGAAATGGAGTGGAATGCTTTGTTGTACTTGTGGTGTTGACCAAATGGTGGGTCGAGTGAACAAACGTTGTGGGCCCTCCTTCATTGCTGCATGACATCACTGACAAGAGGCGACCAAAGCATAATAAGAGAAAGAAAAGAAGAAGAAGAAGAAGAAGAAGAAGGAAAGTAATTCGCACCAATAAAAACTGGTGGGTAAAAAACCGTCTCGACTGTTTTTTAGGCAGTGACGGAGAAAGTAAAAGGAGAAAAGAAAAAGAAAAAAGGAAGCGGATGCCACTGTGGGCCAATGCCTGAGGTTGAGCAAAAACGGTGAAGGCTAAGCTCTTCAGAGCGGGAGCAGGCCAGTGCTCAGCGTAGTGCAATATGGACGAGACTCTTGTAGTGAAGTTGTGGACGAGACTGTTGTAGTGAAGTTGTGTTGTGGCGTCGTGCAGCTAAACAGCAGCTTGGTGCAGCGAAAGCATACAGCGAATGGCAGCGCGCAGTGTTGTGGCTTTGTGCAATAGTAGCTCTATGCGGCGAAAGCATCTACTGATAGACTCGCTCCAGCGCGGCGCAGCACAAGCAAGTAAACTAGAAAAACGAAAAAAAACTAACGAAAGCTCGACTTGGTTGGCGAACACCCACCCCCGGCCCTTTAGAAGCCGGTGTGGCGAGTTAAAACCAAGATTTGAAGGGTACCCAACTATCCTCGCTGGGTGGCTGTCCGCCAACCAAAGAAGAAGAAGAAGAAGAAGAAGAAGAAGAAGAAGAAGAAGAAGAAGAAGAAGAAGAAGAAGAAGAAGAAGAAGAAGAAGAAGAAGAAGAAGAAGAAGAAGAAGAAGAAGAAGAAGAAGGGAAATGCTCACCATCAAATGGTGGATAAAAACCGTTTCGACTGCTTTTTAGACAGTAACGGGTAAAGAAAAAAGGAAAAAGAAACTCATATAATGCAATTCGAAGAGATAGGCCCCCAGTACAGTTGGGGTGTGGTTGTGTCCGTATGGTATGGTGTGTCATGTACAGGTAGTTGCGTTGTGATGTATGGTAATTTGTAGGGCGAATGTCGAGAAGGCTATGAAAATAACGATTCGACAAGAACAAGTGACTACGAGAGGTTGGCAAGGTTGGCGATCGTCCACCCCCGGCCCTTTAGAGGCCGGAATGGCGAGTTCAAATCTTGATTTTAAGGACGTCCAACTATCCTCAAGAAGAAGAAGAAGAAGAAGAAGAAGAAGAAGAAGAAGAAGAAGAAGAAGAAGAAGAAGAAGAAGAAGAAGAAGAAGAAGAAGAAGAAGAAGAAGAAGAAGAAGAAGAAGAAGAAGAAGAAGAAGAAGAAGAAGAAGGGAAATGCTCACCATCAAATGGTGGATAAAAACCGTTTCGACTGCTTTTTAGACAGTAACGGGTAAAGAAAAAAGGAAAAAGAAACTCATATAATGCAATTCGAAGAGATAGGCCCCCAGTACAGTTGGGGTGTGGTTGTGTCCGTATGGTATGGTGTGTCATGTACAGGTAGTTGCGTTGTGATGTATGGTAATTTGTAGGGCGAATGTCGAGTAGGCTATGAAAATAACGATTCGACAGGAACAAGTGACTACGAGAGGTTGGCAAGGTTGGCGATCGTCCACCCCCGGCCCTTTAGAGGCCGGAATGGCGAGTTCAAATCTTGATTTTAAGGACGTCCAACTATCCTCGCTGGGTGGCCGATCGCCCACCAAGTGCTCTACAACAGGTTCACCAAACAGTTTTAATACAACGGCCAGTCGCGCCATGTTCGCTCCCTTCGCCTTAGCCATAGGACATAGCTTGAGTTCAGCGCTGCTTGGCGACAATTCCTCCGCAAGAGCCTGCGCTGTTCCTTAGTGCAGCGCAAGGATCTCGCGAAGGAATCCAAGCTGGTGGATATGGCGCCTCTCGCTCCCACCTCTGCTGTGTGACTTTCCGTATCCCAGCCATTCCTTACACACGCGCTATGAAGGTGACGATAGCGTTCGATTTTGATTTCGCGCGATTGTGCAAAGCGATCTTCACTACATACCGTGAGTTCCAGCCACAGAACTCTTCTCAATTCTTTGGAGAAGAGCACTATGTCTGGACGACAGGTTGTAGGTGCTATGAAGTGGGGGAAAACAAGTTTCTCATCCTTCATGTCCACCAGGACCTGCCAGTCTGCTGAGCTAGTTACGAATTGGTCATTTAGCCGTTTGCGTTGGGAGGGGGGCTGTTTGGGGAGATTCTCTCCTGCCTTGCAGAAAGTTATGTAATCAATTCTCTTCTGTTTACTCTGCGTTTCTGCTGATGCCGTGGCCTTTTGATAAGTTTGGATGGTTTCGTTTACTAGTTTTACTATGCATTTCAGTACGTTGTCGTGGCGCCAGGTATATCTGCCCTGGTGGAGGGCTGTTGGACATGCTGATAATATGTGACGGAGCGTAGCTTGCCTGTTGCATAGAGGGCATTGTTGTTCGACCACAGAGTTACCCCACCTCCTCAGATTGTCAACTGTTGGTAGTGTGTTTAATACACAGTTTAGTTGAAAGGAGAAAGTCCTCCCGTAGCCTTCGTACAACAGTTTTTTCCAAGTGAGGTCTTCAAACATCGTGTCTCTCCACTTTAACCAGCTGCCTTGCATTTGCAGGCTTTTGAGGTGGGATAGCTGGTCTTGGCAGTCACCTTCATGAATGGTATTGAGTATTTGTTTTCTAGGTTTGATTTTCTCTTGTTTGTCATGCCTAAAGCCGAGTCCTGCCCTGCCTTGCTGGAGGTTAGTTGGACTAGCTTCAGAGATCGCTGCCTCGGCACATTCCATTTCTTTTATTGCGGAGTATTGTCTTGCGAGCAGATACTGTTGTTTGCTGTGATGTTGGTACAGGTTTGCCATGTTCTTGTCGCTGCTGTTCTTGATGATATTCCATCTAATGACCTGTCGTTGCTTCCATAGCGTAGGGATGTACGTTAAACGTAGGCCGAAGCGCTCCCGAGCGCCGATGAAGAGTATTGCTGGTGCTGCGGGTCTGGGCAAGCCTGCCCATTTCTTTAAGAATGGAAGGCAAATTCTGTGTAGGAGTTTGGCGAAACTGTGGCTGAGATCAAGTATCTCGAGCTGCCATGCTATTTTGGGGATGATTTGATGCTGGTAGAGCCACAACTTCTGGTGTCCGTACAGTCCGGTCTCGGCAACTGTCTTTAGTAGGCATCTTGTGGAGTTTATGAGGTCTTCGCGTTGCGTTATCTCACCTACTGTATCTGTTAGCATCCTGCCTAGAAACTTGAATTGTTGGCCCTTTAGAGCTGGTATTGGAGTTTCCGATATTCTGAGTGCGGGGTCAAAGCAGGTGTATTTGTTGTTGGTCAATTTGGCTGCGTACGACCTGCATTTGTGAGGGGCCGCCTGCATTTTTGACCAGGCAAGGAAACTATCAACCAGATCTAACTTCTTCTGCGCACCATGAGTTCGATTGCTGAAGACTGCTAAATCGTCGGCGAATCCAGTGTTCGAAGCAGTGACAGTTGTGTCACGGAAACTGTACGAAAGGGCTTGGATCGGTTTGGTCTGAAGAGAATCAAGTAGAATTTGGAAACAGATGTTGAAGAGAATAGGGGAAAGTGGGCAACCTTGAAATACGCCGATGCTGTACCGGAAGGTCTGAGTGAGTGGTCTTTTAATGAATGCTGTCAGACGCTCATAGTAAGAGTAAACAAGGTTCCTGATTTTCAGCGGGATGTGGTAGCGTTGCAGTGCCCTCTGGATCAGATTGTGTTTTACTGAGCCAAAGGCGTTCTTCAAATCGATCCATACCATGGCAATCGAACGCTTGTGGCGTTTGGCGTCTTTCATGGCCTCGTGACAAAGAGTGGCGTGTTCAATACAACCGGACATACCCGGCAAGAAGCCTTTCTGGGTCATGCCGTCAAAATACCCATTCGTCAGCATGTGGCGAGTCAGAACTTTTGACAACATGGCGAAGAAAATCTTGCCGTCACAGTTGGATAGGGCAATTGGGCGAAATTTCGCCGGGTCAGAGTCATTGTCACTTTTTGCGAGAAGCGTTACTGAGGCGCACTGCCAAGACAGCGGAATGGATCCTGTCTTCCAGACTTTCTCGAAGATATTGAAAAGAATGCCGTGCAGACATTTGCACTTTTTCCACACTATGTATGGAATACCGTTTGGACCGGCTGCAGATTTGTTTCTACATTTTTTCAGAGTGTTCTGGAAGGCTTTCCAACTGGGGCTGTTATCAGATAGTGGTGTGGACGGTTTACTCGTAGCTGGACAGAAATCTGGATCCGAGAAAATTTGCTCACGAGAGGGATCTTCATAAAGTTTGGAGAAATACTCAAAGCAGGCCTGTTCCGAGAAAGTTGGTGTTACACGTGATCTGCTTTGGGACATGCGTTTTGCAAACCCGTAAGGGTCCTTAAGAAAGGCCGTCCGCTGTTTCTGCGCTTCACGGTCTTGCTCTTGTATTTGGATGATCTTTCTCAGTTTCTTGATGTCTTTTTGCACACGGTTGTAGTCTGATCTGATGGTCTCAACCTCATGGACGGCAAGCCTATCTCTCCTTCGATATTGCTTACGCAGTGCACGGCGTTTGATGTAGAGCTCAGTTAGGCATTTGGACTGACATGGCTTCTTCGACCTTCGCTCTGGGGTGGGTTCTGAGATGGTGTGGTCGAGGAAGAAGAATCTGAGGAACGAGGTAATCTGATCAAGTGAATCGTCTGGATAGAAGAAGAAGAAGAAGAAGAAGAAGAAGAAGAAGAAGAAGAAGAAGAAGAAGAAGAAGAAGAAGAAGAAGAAGAAGAAGAAGAAGAAGAAGAAGAAGAAGAAGAAGAAGAAGAAGAAGAAGAAGAAGAAGAAGAAGAAGAAGAAGAAGAAGAAGAAGAAGAAGAAGAAGAAGAAGAAGAAGAAGAAAAACACCGGACTTCTGTTCACAGACTCCACCAAAGTGTGGTAACTGCCATGTCATTAATTGTATCTCTCAGTGCTGATACCATCTGCCATATTGAGTCCAGTCTGTGACCTGACTGGCGCTGTATCATGGCCTGGTGTGCTTTTTGTCAGCTGGCACCACACTCACATGACTATTGCCCCCAGTGTCAATGTATGACACTAGTTGGAGAGGAGGGGACCCGTTGATCTTAACTGTATGCTTGTGCGTGTGAACAGACTGATGGTGTGGACCTGGTCAGGATACTAAGAATCTTTTCTTGTCTGCATGCTGTGTTTGCTTAGATCACGGCCGCTGCAAGAGCTATGGCATTGAAGGCATGGAAAGACAAGTAAGCTGAATGGCTGCTGCTCTTCTTCTTTGTTTGCAAATCCGTCACGTAGCGTTATCCTACATAACGGGTATGCTACATAAAGTGTATGCTACATAAAGTGTATGCTACATAACGTGTATGCTACATAACGTGTATGCTACATAAAGTGTATGCTACATAAAGTGTATGCTACATAAAGTGTATGCTACATAAAGTGTATGCTACATAAAGGGTATGCTACATAAAGGGTATGCTACATAAAGGGTATGCTACATAACGGGTATGCTACATAAAGGGTATGCTACATAAAGTGTATGCTACATAACGGGTATGCTACATAAAGGGTATGCTACATAAAGTGTATGCTACATAACGGGTATGGCATGCACAGTGCTGCTGTTAGAGATCAAATTCTAGTCAAGTTTTGTGAAACTGGTACGTGATTCGTGGTGATTGTATACTGCTGTGAAGATTTGCTGGTTCTATGTTCTCTGTTGCTCTTTGGTGGATTGTACTTAGTAGCATTATCATGTGCTGTACCTGTAACAGCTGTGTGTTGTGTGTTGTGCTTGTTGCTGCTTGGCAGGTTGAAAGACATTGATATGGCTGAATTTGATGCACAGTTGTACGACAAGCTGTCCGCATCAGTCAGGCAACAGGTTGCTGCATTGAAGGTTGTCATTGAGGGCCTGGAGGTGAGGGCTTGACCCATCAGGATAATGTACCGTTGAACCTGTACTATCTTGGTGTTGCAACCGGCTCAATTCACTGTGATAGCCAATCAAAGTCAGTTGCATGTCTTCAGTCTGGGAGTGCATTGAATTTCGAGGTTTATGATCATGTGCATTTTTCTTGTGCTCCATGGTTGTTTTGTCTAACATCAGGCTAAGCAGAAGGACAGATCGTGGACACGTCATCAGACATCGGGAGAACTGGATGATAACAAGGTTAGCAGTCAGCCCTGGTGTACCCTTTGTGTGTGTGTGTGTGTGTGTGTGTGTGTGTGTGTGTGTGTGTGTGTGTGTGTGTGTGTGTGTGTGTGTGTGTGTGTGTGTGTGTGTGTGTGTGTGTGTGTGTGTGTGTGTGTGTGTGTGTGTGTGTGTGTGTGTGTGTGTGTGTGTGTGTGTGTGTGTGTGTGTGTGTGTGTGTGTGTGTGTGTGTGTGTGTGTGTGTGTGTGTGTGTGTGTGTGTGTGTGTGTGTGTGTGTGTGTGTGTGTGTGTGTGTGTGTGTGTGTGTGTGTGTGTGTGTGTGTGTGTGTGTGTGTGTGTGTGTGTGTGTGTGTGTGTGTGTGTGTGTGTGTGTGTGTGTGTGTGTGTGTGTGTGTGTGTGTGTGTGTGTGTGTGTGTGTGTGTGTGTGTGTGTGTGTGTGTGTGTGTGTGTGTGTGTGTGTGTGTGTGTGTGTGTGTGTGTGTGTCGTGTGTCCCATATGGTGCAGTGGTATGTGCAGCGATTTCCAATCGATAGATTGCGGGTTCGATTCCCGACGATTATGGTCACACACGTCTTTCTTCTCTTTCTCAGACTCTTCCTGACTTTTCTTTCATTCTCCTGGGTGGTTACCAACAGCCAGTGCATGCCGGAGTATGTGGTGTGATGTGTGTGCGGGAAAAAAAAAAAAAAAAAATGAAAAAGACCAAAAAAGGGATTCACTGGCCAGAAAATGTCACTCCAAATAGCTGTATGGTGTAGACCAGGCTGAATAGTGACGGTCAATTCTTCAGCCTTGCAAGCTGTTGAATGGTGTAATCCCAGCACAAGTTGCTATGGCTTCTGCCGTAGCATTGCTATCATCGCCTCCGGCGATGGGCGTCAATGGTCAATGGTGTGTGTGTCACTGTGTCTCACTGTGTGCATATGTGTGTGTGTGTGTGTGTGTGTGTGTGTGTGTGTGTGTGTGTGTGTGTGTGTGTGTGTGTGTGTGTGTGTGTGTGTGTGTGTGTGTGTGTGCACCGAGGAAGGGGGGGGGGGTAGTTCAGGGTTCGCAGCGAAGTTTGGAAGTCTGGAAAAAGTTTGGATTTTATAATTCAATTTTCCAGGTCTGGAAAAAGTTTTGAAAAGGTGCTCCTTTTGAAAAAGTTTGGAAAAAGTTTTGAATTTCGATTTTTTGGCCGCAGATGTGCTGCACTCCTGCAGACTGTGCAGTGCAAGTGGCCGTTTTGAGTGCCGCGACAGAAGACGCGCTGGCGATGCGTGGTGTTCACTGCATGGACGCGTCTCGTACAGTCATTTCAGTGCAGCTCAAGCGCGGCCGGTGATGCCTTTTATTTGGCCGTTTTTTGTTACTGGCGCTCGCGCTCGACTTTGATTCTTTGAAGTCGGGACAGCAGGATGGCGAGGTCCTTTCGCACTCAGATGAGTTTGCTGGCGAGGATGAAGCCGTCTTTAGCGCTGAGATGGACACCAGCTATGTTTCATTGGAACCCCCTCTGGAGGCGGATTTGAACTTACGGAGGGGAACTCTCGTCATATGAATTCCCCTGCTATTTTCAGGGGCTCTAGCTGCTGAAGGCGATATCATCGCCATGCACCTTGGTGAATTTGTTGATGGTAGTGATACCAGGGAGGATTTTACTACTCCCTGGTTGTACTCGTAGTGGAGAAGACAGTCGACTAGTCGTTCAGAAGAGGTTTATAATATTAAAAATTTTATTTTTCCTGCACGAGTGGGTTTGGAAATTCTTGAAATTGGTTTGGAAAAAGTTTGGAATTCTGTGTGCTTGGTTGGCTGCGAACCCTGGTACTAGTTGTCTAGAACACCAATCATGCTCTCGACTGTTACTCCAAGTTTCATGGCAACATGGCTAATCATCAGACAACATAGTGCATGCTGATTAGGATACTTAGAAATGTATAGGGGAGGTGAGCTGGAAACTGCTGTCGTCGGGGGATTTTATGACCTGACGATAGCCCTTCCGATTACTCACTCACATCACAGGTACATCCCACGTTTGAGTGGCAATCGCGGCGGGGGTGACCAAGTTGGCCACAACCAAAGCAGCGTGGACCTCGTGACCAGCGGTCAGGAGCCGGACTCTCGCGCTGCGCACAGAGGTTTTCAAGCAGCCTGGTTTGCGTTGCACATAGTTTCTCCAAACTATCCAGGCGTGCCGTGATTTCAGGCGTGGCCGACGCAACGAACACAGGTTCAGCGGCCGGGTGCAACTGGTCCTGCGTCTCCAGGACGACAGACTTTTGAACGGCGTGCAGGAGCGTCTGCGGCTCGTGGTCCCCCACAAGACGGCACATGTCGGGAGACAAAGCGTCCAAAAAAGCATGGATAGACACGGTGTTCAGAATGGTACCAGGCGCCCCCGGATATGCCTTAGCCACCAATACCTGGATGGCATCGCCCAATTCAGTGAGGGTCTCACCCGCCCGGCTTTTCCGAGCCTGAAGCTCCGTTTGGTGGAGCAACTCCTTGCCCGTGTCACCAAAGCGAGCCTGCAGAGCGGTCTCGATCTCCGCGCGATTCGCCCGCTGCGTGTCCGACAAGGATTGCAACATGAGAGCCGCACTGCCAGTGAGGCTCTTACATAACACAACACGCGCCATTAATTCCAATCTCTCCCGGGAGTCCGCATCAACCGTGTCATTGGGTTGGGTAACCGGGACATAATTATTGGCCTGCAAACATAATCGGAAATCGTTCATGAAGGCCTGGAGATCCTCCGCCGAGGAACCACCGAACGGTTTCGGCATCAGCCATCTTCCAGGCGCTTCTACTGTAACCTTAGACATGAGGCCACAACTACTCCAGGTAACGAAATACGGAGGAACAAAAACTACTCCCGGAGGGAGCAGGGACCCAGAGCAGGACTACATACGACACAAGCAGGCCAACACTAAACAAATGTCACAATACAGGCTTTACAAACTAATGCCCCAACAATGTCTAGCAGTAAACTAAAGGCAGCTGCTCTGACTTACCTGAATTGCCTCGCTGGCGGCCAGCTTGGACGTGCGAAGGAGACTTGCCGAGACATGAAGCACACGGGGATCGCCAAAGAAAGCAGGAGGCAGGTGAAGAAAAAAGAAACCGGAAAGACCGCGGACGACAGGACGATCGCAGGGTCGTGGGGACGATGCCACTAGCCGGGCGCCAATTGTCGTCGGGGGGTTTTATGACCTGACGATAGCCCTTCCGATTACTCACTCACATCACAGGTACATCCCACGTACACCACACTCAGAGGACTGGTATTCGTTCTTACTCCGAAGAGAGTCTCAGGAAGAAGGCAACAAACAACAAGAATGCATCCAAATGCAGGCATGCGCAACCGGCGCAGTCCGCACGCGGTCCGCACACCGACCACTCGGACCCAGCACATACGTGCCAAAAGGGCAGGGACAACACTGCAATGGCGATCAGCTGAGTCTTGGACAGTCTCTGTGAAGACATCAGAAGCAATAATTGCACTTGGGCAGAGGAGCAAAACCCTCTTCTCCACTGCCTCCGTGTCGATGGTGTTCTCATAGTGAGTATGCAGTAGAGGCAGACCAGTGAGCCGCTGCTGTGACATAGTGCTCCGCAGGTATGTCTTCAATCAGCAGAGTGCACTGATTAAACGCTCGCAGGAACTCAATATTACTGGCCAAGTAGCCACCAGTTGGAGTAAGCGTTGCGTGCACAGGAAGACCTTCTTCTCCGCAAAGGAAATATGCTCTTGCATGATGATAGGGATGTCCGCCTCATACATCGCACAAATCACATGGACCCAACGAGAGGCTTCGGCTGTGAATACAGGCAAGTTGTGCCCCATAGGCAGGTCATCCTGGAGGCTTGTAGCGAATTTCAAGGCTTCCTCTTGGCTGTCGATTGGATTGTCCCTGGCAGAAGATGGCAATAGACGACAACTGCAACCCGTTCAGATTATCAAACAGTGAGGACGGACACTCAGCTGGAGATCTCACAACAATGGCGTCAACCCAGGGAGTAGTTATGGATTTCCGGAAGTATTCTACAGGGGTAGTAGCAGGCATGTTGTTGCGTTGTGTCTGACGATCACAGATACAGTGCATGGATACAGTGCACAGATACAGTGCATGGATGGCTGTTTTCCAACTTACAATGAAACCGTGATGAAAAGGCATGTGCCATGCTTTCCATTCAATTTACCAACCAGATATTTGAAGCCCCCAGCCTTGATGCTCACTGTCGGGCAGCAAGCCAATGCGGGGGTAATCCGTAGAGATTGCAGCACAACCGGCATCCCTACAGGATCCCTGCTGGCAAGACGAGTACTAGTGACTGTATCACTCAGCGTACTGTCGGTGCAAGTGTGCCTTGAAGTACGCTTCGAAGCAACTCCAACAGTTGCGCACTCCGACTTTGATTCATCCTTGGTGCTATCATCTACCAGCAGTTCCACTGGTGGCTCATCAGAATTATTTTTGTCCAATCTGTCGGTGTCGCTTGCACTAGTGCTCGTAGAGTGATTTTTCGGTTTTTACACTTACCCCAAAGAGCTGCTAGTGTCCTGCTGAAAACCCTTGGCAGCTTGTCTTCTGTCTGGGACTCCAAACCGAAACTACTTGAAACCTGGCACATGTGAAAACACTGCGAAGATCATTGACTCGATCGAAATGGGCTGTGTTCTCCTTTTCGTGTGCTGGTGCAGTAACATGCAGTTACTTGATCACGTAGTAGTGTGACTATCTGCATGCATGCAGTGCACTCTCTACGCCGTGCAGCCGCAAAACATGCCATGTGCATCCTCCAGTACTGGATGTGCTGGCAAGGACGACTACAGTCTGTTCATTTGAAACTGACCCGCTATTGCTGAGAACGTACTCAAGGGTGTGAGTGAAATGGGGAAAGTACCTTACAAAGAGCCCGTAGTGCTAATTTCAAAAACAGAAAGAACAGGAAAGAGGAACCCACTGAAAATCAGTAGATAGCAAATTTTGGTGCAAACCTGGTCAAATATTGAACTTTCTGATTTGGGGAAATTCCACGAGGCAAGTTACTGTATAGCAGGAAATTTTCGGACGGAAATATTTTCGGACAAAGCCGAATTTCGACCTTTCGCACGGGTTTTATTTTCGTACAGTGCTGCATGCTAAATGCACGTGTTCGCAAGCAGCACGCATGTACAGTATAGTGTACATCATTTCACATGAACAAATTTTAGTACATAATTAATTTTAGTACAAAAGAGGCCATCTACGAAATAGTACGAAAATTAATTCTGTCCGAAAATTTCCTGCTATACAGTAATAGGATGAATTGCACGGGTCATCCAATATGGCCTGTGTAAAGAAAACAACTACTTCGAAGTACATGTACATACTACTATTTATCAGGGAGTAGTAAAATACCACTTCCTGCTATTTATTGCCTCTACCAAGGTATAAATTAAAAAAGGTAGGGTGCCGGTTTCCGATGAATGGACTGTAGTGCAAGTACATGCACAGTAAAACCTGGTGTAAGCAACCTCTGGGTTTAGCAACCTCTGGGTTTAGCAACCTCTGGGTTTAGCAACCTCTGGGTTTAGCAACCTCTGGGTTTAGCAACCTCTGGGTTTAGCAACCTCTGGGTTTAGCAACCTCTGGGTTTAGCAACCTCTGGGTTTAGGGACCACCTGCTCTTAACCACCGCCTTTCATTGCACCGACAGTTCTACACAGACACTGTGGGACCTGGTTCTAAAGACCACCTGGCTTTAACGACCGCTTTTGCTTGCACTGTGTGGTGGTCGCTTAAACCAGGTTTTACTGTACTAGTGGACTATGTAGAGAGACCAGTGGCAGTGCAGATCCATACCATGCAGTTGGAGGGCCTTGAGATCGACTCATGTGGGCATATGACATGGGGCTGGCTCCAAACGAGCATTTTTGCATATTCACCAAAACAGATCAGCCCGAAAAATGTTGTTCCCGGGCACCAAAAACGTGCACTTTGTGTTGGGAGGGGGGGGGGGGCGTGTGTGTGGGTGGATGGATGGGTGCTTGGGCAGGTGTGTACCAAACACGACTGTGTGTATGCACATGTATACTTGCATGAAGATACATGCCACAGCGGGCGATGGTGAAACTGTATGACTGCTAGTATTTACTACACTGTCCTATTTCAACAAGATCAACTCAGTGTGTGTGTGTATGTGGGGGGGGGGGGGGGGGGGGGGAGATGTGATACGCGTATATCCTAACATCACTGACACTTAGATGTGCTCTTGCTTTTCTTCTTCAGTTGATTGAAGGCCTAACGGGCGAGAAAGATATCTACAGACGGCGAACTGACCTGGATCCTGATGTGAGTAGTGCATGGAATGAGGACCGTGAATTTGCACCGAAAGCATTAGCAAATATTGTCGAAGATGATGATTTCAGCCCTATACTAAGATATCCCTGTCGTTAAAGCGCTTGTCATTGGCCCAGTTTGTGTAGCAGGCAATTTGCCGAGATGTTTCGATAATTGTACACCCTCTTGTATTACTTTTCTTACGAAAGAGAGAATATCATGTGCCATGAAGCAGTGGTTAGCTTGTACATTATGCGGTGCCTGTGTACTAGTAAATCTAAATCAGTGCAACCTTATTTCCATGTTTCGTCGCTTGAGCGGTAAGAGTATTCTTGGATGACTATCCCTCCTGTGCTGCTGCTGTTCAGGGTCAAGATCAACAGAAGCCAAAGCGTTTGCGATTACTTGTGGACGTAAGCGGCAGCATGTATCGCTTCAATGGTGTTGATGGCCGTCTGGAACGAGAGATCCAGGCTGTGCTCATGGTCATGCAGGCGCTGGAGAAGCACCAAGACAAGATATCGGTAAGATCTAATTTGGAATTTCAGCACCTCTCTTCAGTGCCAGGCTGTATCTTGTCCTCTTTTCGAATTGGCTATGTTGTCGCGTGGAATAAACGCCTGATATTATTAATTTTGTGGGTGTATGCATGAGTCTTTTCTGTCATAACTAACGACTCACAGTCACCAGGGTGCATGGCATGTACGTCGTTTGTTATAACTGAAAAAGACCAACATCTCATTGTATTTTACTTTTTACTTGTAGTTGGATATTGTAGGTCACTCTGGCGAAGGTGAGACAACGTTCCTCAAAGCGTCACAGAAGAATCTGAACGACAAGCAGCGTCTTTCAGTCTTGCTTGTAAGTGTCATCTCCTAGGCCGTCAGCCTTTTTCCGATGTAAATTAAATTTATGTGTTGATGAATGATAATGGAATGGAATGGCCTTTCCGATGTTGGCACTGGTGTGTCTGTTGCGCCAGATTTCCAAACAACTGCTCTTACTGCTGTGTTGTCGTCTTGCTTGTGCAACTTGTCGGCGCTCTACTAGAAACTAACTAGAAAAATTCCAACTGTTGCACATGACCCATACCTTGTCTCAATAGATTTGTTGGTTGTATAATCACAGATCGTTATCCCTGTGTGAGCATAGTAATTCTGACACGTGAGTATTTGTTTGACTCATGTGCAGCGAATGCAAACACATACTCAGATGTGTTTGAGCGGTGATTGCACCGTGGAGGCTACGGAAAATTCAGTCGAGGAGATTGCCAAGGAAGAAGCGGATGAGCACTTTGTCATAGTGTTGAGTGATGCGAACTTCTCCCGCTATGGAATACAGTCGTCCACGTTCTCCAAAGTGATGAGTAAAGACGCCAAGGTCAATGTCTTTATTATCTTTATTGGCTCGCTGGGCGACCAGGCTGTCAGGTAGGTACTCGATCCCAGATCATGTTCTTGTCTCCACATGAATCTTGCTACCGAACAGTGAGAGATCTTACTTTCCCCGTGGCAAGTGAAATGCGCCCCCTGTCTTCTCTGCCGTGCTGTGCCTGTGCTGACAGATTGTTTTCTCTTTCTTCATGCATTGACTCAAAGTATGGAGTTCCTACGGGCGCGTATGGGAACAAATGGTCATGTTTACAGTGCTGCTCAAGTCAGTCAAGTACGCGCCGGGCGTTGCGCATCCCTAGACCTGTGAACACTGGGCTGTGAAATGGTGCAGGACGCAGCCTTGACTCGCGTGATTGGAATTCATTGAGCAGCACTGTATTTTAAAACTACAGTACTGGTTGCTATTGAGGTAGCATAGATGACTGGAGCACCATACAAGAGCAGCAACAATATTATAGTTAATTATAGTTGTTGTTGTTGTTGTCCTCAGGCTAGTTCAGCAGCTTCCGTCTGGCCGGGCGTTCATCTGCATGGACACAAGCACACTTCCCAAGGTCTTGCAGAGTATCTTCACCACAGCTATCCTGCACTAAGACAATGTGTGTGTGCGTGCGCGTGAGTACATCATGGGCCACCCTGAGAACGTTCTTACACGTGAAAGTAGCTGCATCAGTGGACAACGGCCTCTGCTGCAACTGCCTTTCATCCAATTCTGCCTGGGGGTGCAGGGTGTGAGCTACCTGCTGTGAACATTTATGCCTTGGCATGAGTTGTCACTTCCGAATCATTTTCTTTCTTAAAAAAGCACTCCCATTGTCTGTGCAAGACCACAGGCAGGAGGTTGTACTTGGAAATAGTGCTCTGGTCATAGGACTGATGGGACTGATGTTCTATATTTCAAGTAAATAATTTCTGACTGGGCTTGCTCTAGTATTTATTACTTTCAATTTTCTTAGCATGGCATAGGGTTGCTGGTGAAAACACTTTATATTAGGTCATGAAAATTAATAGTAAATTATTGCTATGCAGTGAGAACATTGCCAGTGGTGTGGTGTCTACTTGTCCAGGGGGACACCGCTACAAATGGTGTGGTGTCTACTTGTCCAGGGGAACATCGCTACCAATGGTGTGGTGTCTACTTGTCCAGGGGAAAGTAACCCACTGTGTTGTGCTCCAGCCTGTGGCAAGGAAACAGTGAAGCTGCTGTGAGCGCAACTATAGGTCTACCAGAAGTCGAAATACAGGCTACTCCATTAAAAAATTCACGGTTCACGTAGAGACTTGGCTAGACCGATTGTCTTCGCATACGTAGGCGCGCCGCTACCCTCAACTGGCTCAAGGCTATTCCAAGCATGATTGGAAAATAGAGAAAAAAATTCCTGTCCTGCTGAGCACATGGCTGCGTGTGATAGCCTTTTCAGTTTTCACGGTATGCCATAACTATCCGGGGAAGTTTTGTTCAGAAGTCAATCATCGGTCCCAAATGACTGAATCTGTTTTGGTCATTTGAACTGATGTTACACGAAAGAAAATATTCGTTTCTTGTGGCTCTCATGAAAGTGGCCAAACCTCTCCACTGAGTACTGTCCGAGGAGGATCTGTGGAAACATTTTTTTAATTATTTTTTACATGTTTAGCTCTTGGTGTGTCTTACTTGGGCTGGGGGGGGGGGCAACCCTAGGTCCATCACTGCATCATCACAGGCTTGCTTCCAGCATAGATACCATGTTACTGTTCAAGACTATTGTCAAACATTTCTGGCCAATGAAAAGCAGGACTGGCCTCGCCCAGCATCTATGGCAGACGAATACAGGGCTGCAGTGTGCTGCTGGTATTGTACCAGACATCCATCCATATGAAACCCAACACATCCATCCATTATCCATTATTATCATTGGCCAATGCTGCAGTTGTACGTGATTGTACATAAGAGGTAGGCTCGTCTATATCTCATTGGTCAGTTCTGGACTATAGGTTTGGTTAATATTCTTTATTTCCACGATGACCCATGTCCAATAAGGAAGATATTCAGGTTCATATCAGTCCAGTTGTACACGCTCGGTACTCATAGGGCAGCCATACAAAAAATGCAAGGAGTTGGATCTCCAGCCCCGCTCCCCTGGAGTCCCCACTGTGGGCTAGTGTGGACAAGCGATGAAGGTCTTCCACCACTACACTGTATGCCTGTGTACTGAGTCTGTGCACTGTGTGTATGGTGTGCGTTGTTCTGTAGTCTGTGATTATGTAGAAGTTCTCAATATAAACTGTAACATGTCATCATTTTATGTACATGGAACGTCTAACAATTTCCAGTTGACGTCACGATGTCATGCATCCGCTATAGGGTGCGCGAAGGACTATAGGGACCGTCACTTTAAAAGTTTTGCCTACATCCCGCCAAAAAAATCTTTTCGTTTCACGTGTAAGAGACTGTCGCGTACCTCGCTACATTTCACGTCGAGCAATCTGTTCATGCCACCTGGCTGGCTGTACCATTTTGTGTACGCGTGCATACAAAGTTGCAAACATGATTGAAGACTTGCAAAATTATTTTTTTATTTTTTACCCATGTAAAGCTAGCACTAGTAGTACTAGTAGCTCATGATTGATCATATAAGTAATGTGCAAGTCCTCAATCATGTTTGTATGTACGCGTACAGACAGCCAGGTACTAATATAAGTAATAGTTACCAGGTGGCATGAACAGATTGCTTGAAGTGAAAGGTAGCGATGTACGCGGCCGTCTCTTACACGTGAAACGAAAAGATTTTTTGGCGGGGTGTCAGCAAAAATTAAGTGACGGTCCCTTTTGTCCCTTACGTATGCAGTCTTTGCTGGTGTCTGGTCCCGGTATTCCGCCGCCACCCGGTGTGCACTCTGGCCATGTACTACAAAAAAGTAACAGTTACTGTTGGTTTGCTGATGACCGGTCGACCAGCTACACTTGTACTTGTAGCAGTGTGTAGAGGGGGGCCCCTGTTGAGAAGTACAGATCATGGAGCCCCCCCCCCCCCCCCCCCCATCACTGTATGATCACACACCTTGACCTTGATCTTGCCCATTGCGTACGCAATGATAGCGAATGTCGGAAAGTTCAAATGAGAACACGAGCGCAGAACTTGGCATGTCGTTTCAGGTCTCCTGGTCGACGAAATGGGCGTCCACAGACACATAGAAGAGGATCAGGAGCGGGCCGTGGCGGTGGGGTGCTACTAGTTACTCGCAACTCGTCTCCAGCCGGGACGATCTTGGCAACTCTCGAGCCAGGTGGTCACGCCGAGATCCGCCAGGTCAGTCGACACCACATCTCGCCACCTCTTCTTCGGGCCGTGACGAGGACGGGGGCAGGCAGCTCGCCGAACAGCAATTGCTTCGGTGCGCGTGAGTCGTCCATCCTGCCGACGTGACCCAGCCAACGAAGCCGGTGGCGACGGATGATGCGGGTGATATCAGGGTCAACACCGAATGTAGCTGCTAATGTGGCCGTTGAGATCCGATCATCCCACTGTTGACGACGACCGATACCCACAATGGACCGAACACACTGTCACTGATGGTGAAACGTGTTTAGCTTCTGGAGGTGGCCTGCCTTGACACACACACACACACACACACACACCTCAGACCTCAGACATGCCCATCGCGGAAGCGATGATAGCGAACAGCTATGTTAGACATAGCAACTTGTGCTGGGATTACCGTAAAGTCGCGGATAAAAGCCGGGCTTATAAGCACATAAGCCGCTTCCTGCATCAGGCTTCAGTGCAAACCAGGCTTGTATGCAAACCATGCTTATATGCACCACTGATATTTTTGCCAGGCTTGTATGCACATCGGCCGATCCGGGCTTGCATAGAAGCCAGGCTTCTACGCGCGACACGCGTAGATTTACCACTGACTACCGGTATGGCGGCAGTTTTACTATGCACTGTACATAGCGCATGCACTCTTGACCTACCCGATCCGCGCTTGCATAGAAGCCAGGCTTCTACGCGCGACAGGCTTATATGCATTGACCCGTTCGATTTCCAGGCTTCTATCCGCGATGTGCTTGTATGCAAACCCGGCTTTTATCCGCGACTTTACGGTACACCATTCAACAGCTTGCAAGGCTGATGAATTGACCGCCACTATTTTTAGCCTGGTATCCACCACACAGCTGTTTGAAGTGACTTTTTCTGGCCAGTGTATCCCTATTTTTCATTTTTTTTTTTTTACACACACACACCACACCACATACTCCGGCATACACTGGCTGTTGGTAACCACCCAGGAGAGTGAAAGAAAAGTCAGGAAGAGTCCGAGCACACATACACACACGCACGCACACACACACACACACACACACACACACCGGACACACACACACACACACACACACACACACACACACACACACACACACATGTTTGGCAATGATCAGGATGATGGCAAGATTGTCGGACTGAAGTGAAGCACTGGCAGTTGTTTTCGTGTAGTACATTATTACCACTATCATTGCATTGTATGCTTCAGAATATTATAAGTGAGCCTGATCAAAAGCTTCTACGAATGGTATTATACCATTTGTAGAAGCTTTTGATCAGGCTCACTTGCTGCCCTTCATTCAAACTTGGATAGTGGTGCACCGGATAAAACATTGTCATTCTCAAGAGCCTGGGAGAAAGTACAAGTGCGCCATAGACACTAATCCATTTTACTCTATCATAACTGTCCATATACGCCTTTTCAGGTCTTGCACGTTCGCCGATCCCAGGCGCTAGGCGCTGACATGTTGTACTGTGGTCCAGTTTGAATACGTAGATCTACCGACACCAGATTGAACCATAATGGCACATACCTGCAAAGTGTAGTCCTTTGCCATTCCGAAGCATTCCAAGCCTTGAACTAACTTGAAGTAGTTGAAGAACTCCTTGTCCTCTGACTCTGTGCATGCAATGATCTAGAGTACCGTTCACTGCGTCATACTGTGTGTTTTGTGTGTGGACGTATCTACACTACAGTACTCTGCGATTCTTCTCCTTCTAGTTCTATTACTAGTATCACAAGGACTTGAAGGAGGTTGTGTAGATCTACGTGCGTACATGCCATGGTTCTCGAATCGAATTCACTCACACAGTAATTGGGTCGGGCATGCACTTCTACTTCTAGTGCATGCACTGTGCCGTCATATATTATCATGCCGACACTGACTTGATGCAGTGTCGATAGCGGAACACACTTTCTACAACTCACAGTATAAATATTTACATCTAGAAAGCCGTCGGCTTGTCAGGCAGCTGTTCTTCCGAAGTCGGTCCGAGTCGTCGCCGGCACTCTGCTTCGCGGTATCCGCCATTCTGCTCTGAGGCTTGCGCCACGCAGAACTCCGAGCTTGCCAGTGGCAGTGTGGTGTCGCTCGAGCAAAGGAGAGGAATCAGCTCCGTTACTTCAGAATTCACTGGCGGTGCAGTTTCTTCTTCAGCTGGACCCGAGCGGCTTCGCAGTGGGTCGCTGGTTGGAAGAGGCGGGCGTGCAGCATTGTGCGCGTTCTGCATTGTTCGTCTGGAGGGTTACGTTCGGTCAACGGAGGCTCGGTATGTCCTGGCGGATATATCCCAGGTTAGTGTCGATGCAAGATTTACTGACTCGGTGACTGCTTATCAGCTATCACGTACATAGTGGTACATGCAGGTGTGTGCGATTTTCCTCTCGGAAGTGATGTCAGAAGACTGATTTCTGTTTCCTTTCCTCTTTTCACGGAGGAAGACTGGACGTTCCGATCCGAATAACCGACATGACTAGTTTTTGGTTTGTTTTTGCATATCCTAGAAATGCCGTCTCCCGCGTATGCTGTTGAAAGCCATGATTGAGTATGTCCTTGGATGTGGAGTCGTCTTTGTGCATCACAAACACTGGCTGCAGCAAAATGAGCGAAACCGTCGTCAGGGTCCCTTCACTTTTGACTTCATCAGGTTGCGACGAGGTGGTACCCGTACAGGAGGAGTGCTGCGATATCAGTGTTGTGTACATCACCGGTGACGACAACAATAGAACTGCTACGAGTAATATAGAGAATAGCAGCTCGATTTCCGGCCGACGTTGTGGCGTGACAGCGGACAAGGAACTAAATCATCACCACCGGACCCCGACAGTTCGCCAATCTCATCCGAAAGCCACTGAATCCGATGCTGCGACTATCAGTATTGCCGAACTGCCCGGTAGAATTGCAAAGGACGCGAAATGTACTCCGGAATCCAACAATTCGGAGAAGGAAGAGGAAGTTTTATGTAAGTATTGACTATGGTGAGGGATGTATGGATGCGTGAACACTATGAACTATGCATGTATGATGTAGTGACAAGTGGACAAAAAAATGGGAACACAGGGTTGTTGTAACTACAGTCCATTCAGAAAAAGATGATAGGGCCACCCAGAATTAATTCGTTGTTTCGGGTCACCCGACCGACCGTCTTTTTTCACCCGACCGCAAAATGTTTTTTTTTATTATGCATGCAAATGTACATGACTAGACTACACACGCGACCCTAAAATCAATAATATAATACTAGCTAGCAGTCCAGAGGTCGATCTCAGAGTCAAAAGCAGCCAAATGACATCGACGGGCTGCAGCGCTTGGTGACGACGTTGTATTCTCCGATCCGTGATGGGTCCTGAAACAGCATCAGCCCCGCCACCGCGTCGCTCATTGACCGAAGTTTGGTGAGAGCTGTTCGTCAGACTCGTTTGCTAGCAAGGTCAAAATCTGGTTCTGGAGCTAGCTGGACCTAGATCTGAAGGGACACTGACTACGCTGCATCGTCTAGATTTGATCGACTGGCGTGATGGACAAAAGCTATTCGATATTATCAAGAGTACATAACCCCCCAGAGTGTGCAACTCCACTATGGGTGCTGTCCCGACAGAATTTCAAGTTGACGTCATTTTGATGATGCAATGCGCACTGTACACGGATTATCAGACGAATCCGGAACCTGTGGTTGACCGAAGCCGATCGGTCCTGTACAAATTATTGCAAAGAAAAACGTGTGATGCATTGACACCCGTACACATGTTGTAAATCACTGCTGCAAGGAGCATTGCGTCATAAATAATGACGTCAACTTGAAATTCTGTCGGGACAACAGGGTATGTGGGAGTTGCACACTCTGGGGGGTTATGTACTCTTGATATTATCAAGAGTACATAACACTTGATATTACATGTATGCACATGGCGCATGCATGGTAGTAACCAAAATAAAAAATAAAATATAAGGCCAAAACAAATAATGACCTTGTTTCCGGTCGCCCGACCGGGCCACTTTTTCCCAAATTCTGAAACTTTTTTTTGGTCCCAAATGTATGCAAACGGTGGCAATGCCATGTGTGCAAGTGCACTAAACGAGTCATAACTCAGTCAAATCTCAACCGAATTCCACAATCGAAACACCTACAAGGTAGCAGAGATTCTCAGCTGTCGGTTCAAAAACCTCAGGGGTCGATACGAGCTAGAATAACGGAGCTGGAAGGACTCGAACTGTTTGCTTGATTTCTCAGGATGTACGAAAACAGGAATACACCACATGCTGTACAAGAACAGTGAGTCAGTCAACTTTGACATCGATCCTTGCCATGATATAATGTACAATGTACATGTACATGTGTAGGTGCTCTTGTCCATCAATGCCACAACGATTGAGGAACCAAAAAAAGTATCCAAAAAAAGTTTCATTCCGGCCGACCGAGTCTCTTTTTTGAGGGGTTGCCGACCGGAAACAAGCCTATTTTTTGTTTTGGCCTAATAAAACATATACCCGACCAACCGACCCTGGTACGGATGAGTGAAGTGACCCGAAACAACGAATTAATTCTAGGTGGCCTATCCTAGCTTTTGGCCATAAATGGGTCAAATTTTGAGTTTTCGTCACAATTTTTTTGCAATCCCGAGGAATGCTCTTCCAATTGTGTTTTTGAAGTCCATTTCTCCAAAGAGCAAGCCATAACAAGAATGGACTCGGATCCTTCCAAGTTGGAAGGCTGTTGGAGTGCGCATCCAAGATGTGCTAGAGCTGTTAGCCAGTTAGTTGTAGAACGTCAGTACCATCGGTCAGTGTCGTGCAATGTTATCGCATGATCTGATTGTTAAGTAACTGATGGTGTTAGTGGACAGTATAGCGTAACTTGTAGTTCCTTGGTCTTTCTCTTTTGTATAAACATAACAAGAATAGGATTTCGGCCAGGTTTTGCCCCCAAACTGCCAAAGCACTGAATTGGGGAAAATCCATGAAAATCCAGGCCGTGCACTCCACTTGCATAACAGTACATTTGCGGTTCGAACCCCAGTTGAGGCACCTTTTTGGCCCCTTTTTCAAGTTTCGAATCTCGCGGCACTGCACAGTGTACCACAAAATCGCCAAATACGGGAGCTCTCCAGAACTAGCGCTCATCTTTTTCTGAATGGACTGGAACTTGTGAGTCTGTCTGCCTGTGAGGAAGAATGTCGTGATACCATGCAGTCTGAATGTACTGTCGTGGACATGGAAATCCGGTCGCATGACCGGGGCCGGCACCCTCAGTGCGTACAGAACGTTGCATGCAGTGCACATGTTGATCGTATGCTTACTCACGTCTGCATGGCCAGCGCCCTGGGGCCGTTTGACCTCCGACTGGTTTCCATGTCCATGACAGTAGAAGGTGAAAATACAGAATTGTGAGTATTGCAAAGCAGAGTTGCTGTTGAAAGTGCTCGGCTCACGAAGACGAGCCCGCGCACAAGTTCACAATGAGCGAGAAACTTTTTTATTTTGTTGTTACTCCGAGTTTTATGGCAACAGGGCCAATCATCATCAGATTGTCTGATGATGATTGGCCCCCATTGCCAGCAACAAAACAGAGTCTCTCACCATTGTACGCGGTAGAGTGTGTATTAGTAAAGTTGGCAGCACATCCGCATTACAACCAGCTGCATGTGCATGACTGTGTGCAATTGTGTGTTGAGAACACCGATAACCAGTTTTGGAAGTTTCGCTTGTGCCAGGCCACTACCATGCCTCAGATACTTGGGTGGCAGAACTGTACAAGTTGACAATGGCAGCAAGCTGCGTTTGGTTAACTTTGGTTGGCATTCAGCCAGTCATCAGACAACATGATTGCACATAGTCGGCTCAATCTGTGGACATGCAATAGTATAATCTTTTCTGGCAATTTGTGGTAAAGTCTCGCATTTGGCCGGACCAGCTAAGAACCCGGTGCTATGGCGGAATCCCGACATATCACCGAACGACAGCTCACTGAATACCCAGTTCACAGAATGCACACTAGGCTCACAGAATGACAGCTCACCGAGCGGCCAATTCGCCGAACAGACATTTCACCGAAAGAAAGATAAAATAAAGAAGGACAGAGAGAATGAGAGAGAGGGACAAGCAGCGAGAATGCTGCAATTCCAGCTAATCACTCCACAACATTGAAGGCCAGGTTATGTGCAATTCCTCTGAGGAATTCCAGAGGTGGTCGTGCCTCGAATGAGTGAAGTAGGGTCCTCAGCCTTCTGTCACAGTCTGCGTATTTCTTATTTCTTTTTGCTGCACCGTGGCCAGCCACCAGCCTCTCGCCATCGCGTTCATTTGAGCTTTGTTCCTGGACAAATGCGTCGATAACTTTCCATATGGTTGGGTTGTGACACGAAACAACTGAGGCCAATCTCCTGTGCCATCCTTCCTGAGCGTTGTGACTCCTGTCCTCACCACCACTGGGTGCGCTCGTAAACGCTCCACAGGAGGATGGGGAACATTGGCGTCCGTCGTTGTCCATTTCCTTCTGAGAGTTCCGATGTAATATTGCTCAAAGTAGGCAACGACATCCCCTGCCTCATCTGGCAGAAAGTCCTCCAGTAGCTCGAAATAATGTATAACATCACCTGTGGGCTCAAACGCTAATGGTGGCAACATTCGAATTTGGACAGCGAACTGAGGCTCTTGGCCGTACCGTTCTTGACACTGACACTGACTTGAACGTCCCATCTGCGCGCCAGTTATCATGTCTTGCAGGTAAATCCATATTATCTGCAGTCGAGAAAACCAGAAACTTCTGCTGTGCTGTTTCCGCACCACTGACAGTTATCATGCAGCAGGAACATGTCTCCCCTGGAGGTCATGGTGTATGCCTCAGGAAGAACGATTTCCTGGAGTAACCCGGGATTGGGTGGGGCATTGTGAGCTTTCACCCGTTCTCGCTGCGCTTTCCGCTTTCCGCTGCGCACAGAAGGAAGCTGAGTCGCTGCTTCTTGCGAGACGGCTCCTACCGCTGCTTGCATGACGGCGTGGGTGGATTCCTGTGTTGTTGGCGCTCGCTCTGTGATGATGTCCCTTACTCTCACAGTGCCTCTTCTTGTAGCGTCAGGTGTGTGGCAGTGTGTTCAGCTAGCAGCTGTAACAGCCCCTTTATCCGTCTTCAATCTTCCTTTGCAGCTCAGTCCGTCCTTTTGGTCGCATCTCCAGTAGATGACACCTCCATTGCCCGACTTCTCTTTGATATAGGCATATCCGTGGTGAACAACCTTCATACCGCCTCATTGTGTCTTTCCGGCATAATCAGGTTCCATTGTGCTCTTCGTAACTCAAAGTACAAAGGAAGATTGACAATAAAAGGTGTGGGTTGATATACTTCATTTTCCAAATAACGTGCAACCAGCGCCAGTACGTCAGTGCTGCTTACCCTTTGAGAACTAGTTTTCATACATGAAGCAATTTGTACACTGGGAAAAAGTATGGACTTTCCCGTACATTGTGAATACTGTAATTTTAGAAATTTTCGGTGCTCAATATTTTCGGCATGAGAGCAAAAGTCTAGGTTAGGTGAACAGAAATTTTCGGAACAGAGAAGCAGTTTCCTATTGGATTACTAGCACGTGTGTTAGTGTTTGTTCGGTGTATTGAAATTTTAGGTATGGAACAGATGCACCAAAAGTACAATACCGAAAATAAAAGCACATCAAAAATTTGTGAAACTACAGTATGTGTGATCTGTGGTGCATGCAGTAAAGACATTTTAGTACAGAACTATATTATTTCATTATACTGCCGTACGATGTGTTCCCGCTGTACATTACAAAAGAAGGCTGTTAGATAAGTCTGCATTTGAGGAGCCAAATTAGATTGTTATGATTGCAGTGAGTCACAGAAAAGAATGAGCAGATCACACGTGTCACAGTGCAGTAGGTTTCATCAGTGGTACATGATTGTATTCGTATTAGTACTTTTTTTCTCTTTTTTTTGAAGTACATGTAGTGTATCAGGCCGGCTTATTTCTATTTTGGTGTCTTTTTTCTGAATAATGAACACCCATCTTCTCCCTTTGTTTGTTGTAGGTGAGCTGTCCTCACCCTCTAATGAATGGCCGAGTTCAGAAGCAGCTTTTCCTGGCCGCCGCAGGTCATCGTGTGTAGCGTTTAGCCAGAACACGCCTGGCAGCAGTCCAAGTAGTTCAGATCAGCAAGTGGCCGCAGGTGGACAGTGGCAGGCCAGCTACACCCCACCACCCACCGGCAGTCACACAATACTGCAGACGTGCCGGGCATGCGGCGGCCCTCTCTTTGACTCTGTCCAGGGGCCACCAAGCAAGGAGTGGCTGATGCAGCGACAGCGACAGCAGTCAATCACCACAACCCTGACTTCCATCTCTAGTCCGTCACCGCATGCACCAGGTCCGACACAAGATGCGGGCAGTGACACTGTTGCCATGGAGGCTGATTGCAGGTCTGCTGCTGGTGGTGGCAGTGATCAACACAGCAATGAATCTGAATGGCACGGAGTATACGGGTCACCGCTGGATAGCGAAGAGGACCGACTCCTGTGCACTGGATGTGGGCGATCCGGAAAGCTCTGCCAGTCTGAGAGAAGCATGCTTTCTGAAAGCTTATGGTCCATACCAGCGCTAGACAGAAGCAGCTCCTTCAGATGTTCCCGACTGAAGCACCTGTACGAATGTTTCTTCTTCCAGCACAGACGGCGATCACTTGTGTTTGTGGTGCTAATGTTGCTGGCCTATCATGTGATCTTGGTGGCACTGGAGGCCATCTCTCTCCACCACTGGAGGCATTGGTGAGCAAAGTCACTAGGCTAACTTATTCTATTGTTGTTTCCAAATCGTATTCTTGCGGCGTTGCTGTTGCTGTTGCTGTTGCTGTTGCTATTGTGTGTGTGTGTGTGTGTGTGTGTGTGTGTGTGTGTGTGTGTGTGTGTGTGTGTGTGTGTGTGTGTGTGTGTGTGTGTGTGTGTGTGTGTGTGTGTGTGTGTGTGTGTGTGTGTGTGTGTGTGTGTGTGTGTGTGTGTCGGAAGGGGGGGGGGGGGGGATCACAGCTGTGACACAGTTCTGAGAAAAATGATGATTTTAGTCCGCACTAGGAAGAACGGCAGTGGAAGCATGCGGAGTAGTATGACAACTGTTGTCCAATAAACAATTAGTTGTCACTGTTGGCCGGGATTGAGTGAGACGGGTGTGCATGTTGGGTAAGCTGCATTTGGTGGTCTCACTGTTCACCAGTTCTCATGCTAATCAGTGTAGCGCTTTTGTTTTGTTTTCTCTGTGAACGTTGCCTTTCTACAGGTTATTGTTCCACGTCATAACAGTGTTTGCACTGTACATCCCACTGCTCCTGTACCTGTGGAAACTGCCAACAGCTGACCCAGCTCGAACAGAGAATCAAGTAACTTTCCCAATGGATAGCCTGTGTCTGGCATGCACACACTCCAATTCTCCGCCGTACCAGAAGCTTTCAACGCGCCGGGAGGATCTGGACACGTCCGGCAAGACTTTCTGGCGGATCCGCATCATTGGACTGCTGTGTCTGATACTGATCATGATGGAGGCGTTCATCTACTTGGCAATGTGGAGTCCTCCGCGGCAGGTTATATCCGGTGCATGGTTTGTGCTTCTCGCTTCCTGCTGTATTCACACAATGTTGCCCTTTGCGCTTACGCTATCGATTCCGGTGGTCGCCATGTTTGACATCAGCTACATGGTCGTTGGCAGTCTATCTATTCAAGCAGCAAATGCCGATCAGGAGTACCAGATGTCTGCTGTGGCATTGCTCCTGATCGCGTCCAATCTCATCGGCATCACGCACCGTGCACAGACCAACAAGCACCAGCGTGATGAGTTTCTTACATCGCTGTCATGCCTGAAGTCAACGCGTGAAGTGCAGGGCTACATTTCCCTTCAAGAAAAGCTTCTCAACTCTGTAGTTCCACAGAGCATTACCAAAGAGTGGAAGAGGACCATTGATCACAATGGTGCACTGGAACTGAAACCAATGGATATTGCTGAGCAGTCTGACACAGCAGCCAAGTGCTCAGCAAACGCCACGGTCAATTTCCACGATGTTATTCTCTCCATGCACGACACGGTTACCATTCTGTTTGCTGATATCGTTGGATTCACCAAGTTGTCAGCCAGCATTCCTGCACAGCAGCTTGTGACGTTGCTTAACACGATATTCAGTCGCTTTGATGATTTGGCCATATCTGGGAACTGCTACCGAGTGAAGACACTCGGAGATTGCTATGTATGTGTGTCCGGCTTGCCAGATGCCCACCTGCGTCATGCTGATAACTGTGTACTGCTGGGCCTGAAGATGTTGGAAGAAACTCACCGCTTGTCTGAGGAGACTGGGCTGGACTTGGCTGTGCGCATTGGTGTCAACACTGGGTCTGTTGTGGCAGGTGTGCTGGGGAAAATAAAGTGGCATTATGATATCTATTGTGATTCGGTCAGCGTGGCAGCACAACTGGAGGCCAGCGGTGAGCCTGGCCGTGTGCACATCAGCCAGTCCACATTTGACCTACTCCAAGACACATTCTCAGTGGAGGCGGTGAGTCCCGAGAAGACTGGCCTGGGCGATGTCTCCTATCTGATTGGCTGCAGGGAAGTACCGGCTAAGCCTGACTCGGGCTTCGATGATTGTGTCTGCAAGCCTAGTGGAGCAGACTTGGAGACGAGCAATTCAGATCTGAGCTTACCAAAAGACTGGGATATCCATATGCCTTTTAGTGGTTTGGCCATATCTCAGTCTTATCCGGGTGAGAGAGTTCTTCCACAGGTGCCGCATGACTCCCTCCACAATGACGTATCTACGAGCGATCAGCTGAGTGACACCGCAGCCATCTCGGTGCATCGTCCAAGCGAGGTGTCCGTGGACGAACATTTCGAGCCGGACCACCCAGGAGGTGTTCTTTCCGTCAACGGTGAGCCTGTGATGTCAGTCTGTGACACAATGGCTAGTGTCTTGTCGTCACAGCAGCTGGAGCAGGTCAGAGCCAGCGATATGAACTCTTGGACACTGTGCTTCCTACCTACTGGCTTGGAAAGAATGTACCTATGCGAGGAAGACAAGCAGTTTGGAGTGCGCACCTTCTACTCAGCTGTTGTTATCTTGTTGGCAGCAGTTGCGCATGGCCTGATCAACAGGCACACCTGGAACCATGCTTGGCTGTTGTGTGCCTACTTCATCCCTACCGTCATCTACCTTCTACTATTCGTTGCAAGGTCGTGCAAAGTACAGCTGTTCTCATGCCATCACTATTTTGTTCTCTTTGTACAGCGGAATATCTGGGTGCGCTACATCACCACGACTCTCACTGCTTTGGTTCTGCCGCTGCTGATCCTGCTGTCAGTGAAAGACTGTGACTCGTCAGCCCCGTTCCTCCCTGGTAATGTCACATCACACGCAAGCGTAGGCTGTGACTACCCGGAGTCCAGCTACTTGTGTCTACTGATCGCAACTAAGCTGCTGCTACTGCAGACGGCTATACTCAGCTACTACGTTTGGCTTCTGGCTCTCTTGATTGCAACCACAGCAGTAACACTGATGTTCTGTGTGTTTCACTCAGTGTTTGATCGTAAGCACGCTTACCTACAGCTGTTGTCTGATACTAATTATGGGGACAGTGAGTTCACTGGGTACAATGCCATTGGCCTTGTGAGTGTCATTCTAGCCTACGTCTCTAACATTCTTCACGGACGCATGTGTGCTGAGATTCGCCGCTTCTGCTACCTGTGTAGCTGGAGAATTTCCAACAAGCAGCATGCTACCGACGCACTTCAGATGCACAATCGACACCTGTTGCTGAACATCATGCCAAGGCACGTTGCTGATTACTTTATCGCAGTGCCATCACACAGCCCAAGACTGTATTCAAAGGAGCACAAAAATGCCGCCGTCCTGTTTGCCAGCATCCCCAATTTTGGAGAGTATTTGAGGACCGTGCAATCATGTGAGAAGTCCTGCCTGGAGAGTGTCCGCATGCTCAATGAGATCATGTGTGAGTTTGATTCACTGCTGTCCTGTACACGGTCAGACGGCACAGCTTACTACAGGGACGTGGAGAAAATTAAGACGGTGAGCAGCACATACACGTACATTGTAGCAGCTGGTCTGTCTGGCAGTGAGGACATTGCTGATGAAACTGACATGACCGGCAGTGCGGAGGACAGTACCAATGAGATGACCATGGCCAGCCAGCGTCGAGCACACACCTCGGCATCCGCAGACCTAGTACGCCTGGCCCGTGCAATGCAACACAAACTGGAGGAGATCAACGAGAGTGCCTTCTACTCATTCAAGCTGCGCTGCGGTGTTCATCAAGGACCGCTCATCAGTGGAGTTCTTGGTGCCAAGAAGCCGCTATTTGATATCTTTGGTGACACGGTCAACATTGCTAGCCGCATGGAAAGTACAGGAGAGTCTGGTAAGATCCAAGTTGTGCAGCACGTGGCGGATGAACTCAGCGAATGCGGATTCAGCTTCGAGTCACGTGGTCTGCTACAGATCAAGGGAATTGGCGAGATGGCTACGGCATTTATCAGTGATGATCAGGAGTAAGTTGCATTGTTGACCCCCCCCCCCCCCCCCCCCCCCCCGCTCTCTCTCTCTCTCTCTCTCTCTCTCTCTCTCTCTCTGTCTTCTACTAGTTCCACTTGAAGTAGCAATTTGGTACATTGGCTGGCCGATGTCATCAGCTTAGTAAACCTTGCTGCTATACTCGAGGAACTACTGCTAGAACTGGTGACATGTAGTACATCTGCTGTGGACTGCATTGCCTCGGATTGGGCAGATTCTGTGCTGGTAACATCCTGCGTCCAAGTTTTCCCTGTTGCGGGTCAACATAGCTTCAGTCACTGCTTGAGAAGATGTTGACACTAGAAATGTACCTAGCAAACCCTTATCTATTTATTGATTGGCGTGCACTGTATTCATGCGAAAACCAATAGTTGAAGCACAGTTGAGAACTATCTGATGTTCCATTATTTGGAGCCATAAGTATTATTATTGATCCCTGAGTTTAGTGCACTCCGCTTGTGATACCATGGCGTAAATGAGGCTAGTCACACGTGACATGTTGTGATCTTGATGTATAGGGGTTATGCGATTACACCATCAGTTGAGATGCTGTGTCAGTGTCGCGGCACAGCACTGCACTTGCACTAGCGACTTGCACTGAATACTTGTAGTGCCCATTCGAAAATATGCTGACTCGCACTCGTCACTATACTTGAGCCCATTAGAAAATCCGCCATGACATCATTCACATAACCTCTAGAGGTTACGTGAATGATGTCGTGGGGTGAGTCAGCGGCCCAGCTCATGGGCGCTATGGATACGGCGTGAGTCACTAGTGAGTCGCTAGTGCATCGCTGTGTCATGACTTTGGCAAAGTATCTCAACGGATGTTGTAGTCGCATATCCTCTATCATACAGAGCACTTTAAATGTAGCTGATAATACAACATTTTAACGTTTTAACTGGAGGGCTGCCTGTCATCCATGTGGATCCCCAACAGTTTAGCATCTGTCTACGTGCAACTGCCAACTGCAAGCAAATATGCTCTTTCAGCGGATGGATTTTGATGGAACGCTGTGACCTCTATCACACCTACTGAGCTACTGTCTTGGTCAGTGAAATAAATTCAAATAATTAATTCAAACCCAGGGCATTTCCAGCATCTGATCTCAGCAGCCCTTGACCACACCCTGCACTAGCAGTTTCTTGTAACTGTGGGTGTAAGCTCAGCTCAGGCACTGGATAATACGGTCACGATTCTCAAGCAAGGGGTTGGATTTTACACTGGGCCATAACTGTTCTGTGACGCATGGATCTGTGGACATGTTGGAATGGCAGTAACTACTAGTATGACAAGTTTATTTGTTGCAGGTTTTCAGGCAGTCTACACAGGTACATGTTTATACACTTGTAGACAAAGCTCTTCTAACATTTCTATATTTTCCAACTGAACTGACCTGTTTTTTTATGGGGGGGGGGGGGTTAAATCATTGTGTGAAATATTCAGCCTACGGTATCCAAAATACTCAGTCGAAGTAATTGACTGGATACAGGGTCAGTGGCAGTATAGAAGATACAGTCAAGAAAAGACTTCACCAGATCTAAGTGAGTTCCTTTCCCTTTTACAAGGTTTTTTTATTTCCTACTGCAGTGCAGTGACTGAGCATGGAGTCAATATGGATTGTTCATGACAAACACTTCCGGCGCTAAGAAATAGTCCGATATAAGCATTCAATTTGATGGTGAGCCAATAATAATTGTAACAAAGCAACGGGACATAGCCGATTAGAGTAACCACTCTTCTTTTATAGTTTTATTTTTATGTCTCCCGCAGGCCATTGGCTTTCTTACAGGAACCAAAGGGAGGTACACGGAAAAAGAACTTTTTCTCGTCTCATGGTCTATTTGAAATACTAAGTCATGCACATGGTATGCTCCAGTGGAGCCATGGCATGTTTCGTAACAACTTTATTTCTACAAGGACTTGGATCTTTGGAGTTCATGCCACACGACATGGACATGTGCCTAGGGATGGCGATCACGAATACCTTCACAGATACTTTACGATGCAAACATGCTGTGAGATTTGTATTGACTGTATTTTCCATTATGCCCAGGTGAGAGTGTACCAGCAGCATAGGGCTATTGAACTACTACACAGGTGAAGGCCATAGCAGTGCCATGTGATCATGAAGATGAACATTAGTGGCAGCATTGTGCAGACAAGTCATGTTTAAAATGATGATGGAACTGTGCAGGGTGTAATGGAGAACTAGACAACTGACCAGCAGATAGGACAAGGGAATCTCAATGTGCACAGTCATACAGCAGTACAGAGGAAGCTGCGTAAAATTATTTCAAAAAACGATAATTATATCGGAATAGGAATCAAATATTAAATAATTCTATATCTGTATAACTAACTGATCTATCTAGGCAGGCAGTGAATGCACATCTAGTGAATTGTGGTGGCTCATCAACTGAACTAGCATCAAGCATGTGTCACTGGAGCAGATCATAGAGTGTTGCTGCAAGTAGATCTCATTCAAGTTATCAAGTATACTGCTAAAATGGTTCAAGAAACTGTTCAAGGCCATTGGGCCTGTGGCATATGAAAGTTCACTCATCCTGTTCGGCTGGTAACGTGTTGCCGTCACGCTGGTGCACAGACGCGTGCCTGGACAACTCGTCCGAGCGGGCGAATGTCCTGGGGCATTCGGGACACGAGTACGGCTTCTCTCCGGAGTGTGTTCTCTTGTGGCTGAACAGATGGTCTGAGCGAGAGAAGCTTCGATTACACACATCGCAAGTGTGTGGGCGTAGACCACTGTGTGTACACAGGACAAGAAGATGGCGGAGATCAACACTGGTTAGTACATGATAGTTCATCGGTGCTATTCAATACATGCCCACAGTGACGCGCTATCCACAATGCCGGAATCACAGCAATCAAAACACAACAAGTGAAGCTAGCATGTACATATCTGAATTTGTTTGGCCCCCTTCTACTAGCTAGTAGGTAATACAATAACCGCAGAGATAGCAGAGTCATAACTTCACATCTAACGCTAACTAATGCTGCTGGTGACTTACGTATGGCGACGAGCGTGCCTTGCAAGTTCATCACTGCGTGTGAAGGTAGCAGAACAGATACTGCAGATGTATGGTCGCTGTCCGGTGTGTGTGCGATGGTGTGCCTCCACATGCGATGATTTCGAGTATATCTTGCCGCAGCCAGGCTCGGCACACTGGTACTTGCGCATGCCAAGCTTCACGAACGCAGAGGAGAACCGGCGGCCTTTCCGGCCGCGTCGCTTCTCCTGCGGTGCCAGGACTATAGCCAGCACATCAGCGGGGAGGTTTGGTGGCAGACCCTCTGGAAGCTGATCATAATTTGGCGAAGGTGGTGTTGTCGGCTGACTTGATCCGGACTCCTCGTCATGACTATCACCAGGTGATGATGCCACACTATCAGTATCAACATTGATGAACTCATCTGAAGTAAATGAATCCAGGCTATCACTTGATGACACTCCGTAGGCCGGCACAACTTCTCCTCTGTCCGAACTGTCACTGCTGGTTCCTGAAGATGAAGCCGATGACGTCACCATCGATCCACTTCCACTCTGCAATCTCATTGAATCAAGGATAGCAGCTGCTTCCAAATGTCGATCGCCAATTTGTCCTTCCCTAGTTGTCATCATTGTGTGCACGGGAGAGTAGATGGCAGTAGGGGATAGTCCCTCTCCAGGGCTGCACGCCGGGCTGGACACTACCTGCTGTTGATGCTGGAGACTGTGACTGTGGGTCGTCGGTGGTGGGGAGCAAATCAGCGTGGGCTGCAGGGGTGGTGAACATGGAGTCGATGCCATTCCAGGCAGGCGCAATACCGGTTGATATGAGGACCACATGTTTGCACTAGACGTTGGACTCAGGAAGAAAATCGGCGCGCAGTTCTGCTGGAAGCGTTGTTGGTGCGGAGGGCTTGTTTGCTGTTGCTGCTGTTGCCGATGTTGCTGCTGCTGCGGCTGTTGTTGTGACAGAGACATAGTGGTATGGGGCTGAAACCAAGTTGTAGGCTGACTGTAGGCTGTTGCTGGCTGCAGCTGATGATGATTAGCCATTGTCAAATGTCCAGCTGGGAACGTTGTTGCTGCTGTTGGCACTGGCATGGTAGCTGGTGTCGGCTCAATGGCTATCATTCTCAGAGGAGAGATGTTCAACTGAAAGCGACAATAACACACTGACACGCACCGAACCGCGCTGCCTGTATTTTATATTCTCACCGCTAGCACTTACACACTATTCACTCGCCGTTGCGTGTACGCACGGAGGGTAATGAAGCGAAATGCCCTAACTGGCCTAAGCACTCTCTGTCTGGTCTGAATGGGGCAAATGGGCAACTTACTCTTTTGAGCAGTGATGGGCCAAGGTTGACTCAAGTCAAGTGTATTATTCAACATGCGGCCGCTTAGCCGATTACCTACTGGAGTAGTGGTAAGAGTGAACTCAAAGGTGAGGAAGAAAAGGAAAAATGGTGAACACCAACAATTGCAGCTGGTAGCGATCTGACGGAACTGACCGTCGTCGCGCTCCTTTTACGCGTCTCGACATCACACAGAGCTGGTGGCGACACCACTACTGTCCAGTACCACCAGCAACACAAGATCGTACTACAAAACAGCTCAGCGCTAACAACACGGTGACAGTTCGTACGGAAATCGTCCAACTCTCTCTTTCTTCGGAACTGAGAAGCGCGAAATAGACGTTCCGCTCCGGTGCACGTCTGCTGGGTACGCCACGCGTTGACAGTACACGTTCCTCGCGCTGACAAGTCCCCAGCCGCATGCTTGCATGCATACTATTTTGTACCGAATTGGGATACGGACACTGTCAGTAGCGCCGTGTCCACAGGACATGCAACCTTGCTGGTCGTGTCAACACGTCTGGCAGCACACACTCGACCTGCGCTGCATGCGCAAGTGCGCCTAGCCAATCGTGTCCATGCAGTACATCAGGCTCAGGTGCATGCAGCAGGCACTCGATAGCGCAGCCACTACTAAAAATTAAAAATTAATGGTCCTGCAGTCGACCAGTCAGTACCAGTATACTGCACATACAGTGATCATGGTGATACACGCAACACACGTGGCTCAAACGAGTCAAAGGAACATCGGTTGGAAACGTGGCCCCAGCTACGTCATCTGAGTAGAGGAGCGAGAAGCTAAAACCGGAAAATCTCCCCGTCCTGTGGAGGCAACACGGAAGGGATTGGGGCTGGAGAATATCTGTGGGCTGCCTGCCAGGGCCAGAGGTTGACCATGCCACTTGCGCCTCAATGAGATGCTCTCGGAGGTACTCGTTTGCATGTGCCGTCTTTTGGAGTGCGGACATTGTAACACTTCTGTTCCGGTACTTGGATGTTATGCTTGGATGAGTACGCTGGGCAATTACCACCACTCGAGAACAATGGAGGTATTGAGTGGCCAGCGTCACTCATCGGGAGCCATTTTCAAAGCTAAACCTGGCCTCTATGGGTTTCAACGGTGTTTGTGTTTGCTCGTTGAAGGAAGTCAAAGGATCTTATGATTCTTATCGATTAGGCAAAGCGTTGAGTATCAGACGCTGCAGCCTGCACATCCTCTCATTCATTGCTTTCTAACTCTAAGTACCCACCTTAGATTTAGGCAAAACACGGCGACACGTTTGATGCGGAATCAACAATTTACAAAATGTACACTACAGTTGACACTGCACTGGGTAGATCTACAGTACAATACATGTGTCTTGATAAAGTACCACCCCATGCCATGGTACATGGTGCAACACTGCATGATGCCTAGCGCCTCAACCAGTTAAAATTATATTATTTATTGTTTGTGTTCTACGTAACTCGTTCTCTAGCTTGTGTCACCAGCCGCGTACGTACATGTACATGTATACGCGTACCTCACTTTTTGTTTCCAAAACGAGTCTGTGGTCGTCAGTCAACACGAATAATTACCTTTGTGGGCACAGTACGGCTGTCCAATGTGACACTAAATTCCCTCTCATACCGTCTCATACTCAAAGTGACATAACCACACACTGTGCAACTGTTGTGAACTAATAGTAATACTGACTTGTGGCTATGCTGTATGCACTCTAATCATGCCGCAGTAATGCCATGGCGAAAAGAGCTGTTTTCGGGGAAGTTCCAGCTCACTGATCAGTAATAATACTAATATGACTATGGCACTTTCAGTCATCACGTGGTCAGGGGACGCGACGAAGTGCTATTGAGTTGCGTAATAGTAACTAATACTAATACGGTGAAGTGTCAACAGACTCAACACAAACCCTAGGCCCTAGTGAGCAACGCGGTGCGCGGTGCGACGCCTGGTGTTTGATTGCCATGGTCACGCTGGTAATTCTTTTTTAGCAAGCTCAAGTGGCGAAGCGACCCAGGGATAACGAGTTTTAGTTCGAATTTCACCTTGGCAATACCATGACTGATTCCGAGTGTGGACTGTGGAAACAAGACGTATTGGCGTCATCGCCATTGAAATTACGTAACAACAGTGCACACAATGTCATGTCCTCCGAAGTACAAACCGTTTACAGTGCAATTATAAAGATGATATTGTGCATTGTGCTGTATTTGTAGCCAGTTAAAAAGTCTACATGACAATACATGTATAATTATTATAAGTAGTAAGTACATACATATAGTACATGTACATGTATGTAAAAACGTACAGTCTGGAACCTCTGTACAGTCATGTATACAAAATGTAAATCCAACTCACATGGTGTCATCATTGTACTTCCTCACTACATGTACAATGCACATGCACAGTGACTACATGTACATGACCAGTACAAGACCAGTACAATCATTCATGGTAGGTCAACTTTACTTGCAAGTAAGTTACATGTACATGTACACGACTGTGCATGACAGTACCTCAAAGTTTAATAGTTACTATTAAATACTAGTATTCCTCTAAAGTGTCGTTATCCACACAGTGCTCCGCAACACCTGCGGCAAAGGGCAGAGCCTCCTTCGGAGTCCTTACACCGAAGGCAGAATGAGGTTTTGTTTACAACTCGAGTTTCACGCTTATGCGATGATCAGGCAAAATAGCGAAGTTTATTATGTACTGTTATGATTCAACGTACATGTACATGTACATGTACCGGTAGTAGTACTGTTGCCTCTGTTGGACTCGCGCGGACTCCTCTGTCTCATGGTATACATTGTACATCATTACGTGTATTTCCATATGACCCAGAATTGGAAATTCTGAGGGAATGTGTATGTCGATCTTCCTGCATTCATTTTGTGCTTTCAATAAAACACGTACAGTACCAGTAATCGTTTCAGTCAGCGGCCATAGTCCACAGGCATAGGTGTACTCAAATTATAATAATTATGTGTTTGTCTCAACCACGAAGACAAACAAAGCACTCAGACGAGGTGGTAAACATAGCAAATGTAAACAGCGATCATTCCATGTGTTTGATGGCGTGATGGAAGTGAGTGAGTAGTGAGCACCCATTGATGCATTGTGTGTCTATATGAAACGATCCCTGCAATAATGTGTAGCATGACTTTCTATCACCAAACATACTCACTCAGTATTGTATTTTTCCGACTGTACATTTGTGCCATAATCAATGAAAGGCACAGTGCCAGAACTCCGGAGGTTTCATCCATCAACATGACAACAATCCCGACTCCAAGTCTTATCACTATCAGCCTCTACCAAAATAATGCACAGATTGCTCAATCTGCACAGATAATGTTTATGTATTGGCTTGTGGTTCCTGTCATGTACATGTACATGCATCTTCAATCAGTGACGGTATCTTCAATCATGTACATGATTGTACATGTAGATAACCGGATTGGCCGATAATGTGTTGTGTAGGATCTGCAAAATGTACTCTATCCAAAGTACATGTACTACATGTAATGTACGTGTACGTGTAGTTCTTAGCTTCAGCCTTTTTTCCGTTCAAGATCGACGCACACCACGACCTGGTAGGTGGAGTCATGCTGTGTCTTGCAGTTTGGGATGAGTGGAGACCTGGTACCAATGTGCCAATTGTTATGCTTGCTTGGTTGTGAATGATCAAGATCACTATGGCCAGTATGGGCATATGCACATGTAGGCATCTGATACTTGAGTGATAGTCTGGGCCGTCTGGCCGAACACACGTGATCCTTTATCTTCCGATTTCAGCAAGCGATGTATTAGATGGATAGAATAAGACGACTCATGAGATAGAGCCTGACGGCGCAGACAAGTAAAACAGTTACTAGTAGATAGTTCGGATGAAAGGAAGGCAGTGATACTCCTGGAGCCCCACCGTCGTCCCGTCACGCTTGGTCGCTCCGCGTGCGTTTGAGCCTGCAAGGTGGTCTGCAGCCTGCAGCTAGGCCAGCGTTTGTATTGTTGATGTTGGCTTTCAGATAAGGGGAGCTGGTGGCACCATGTACACTGACTGTACCAGTACTGAGTTGCTGAGCTGGGCATGGGCCTCCCGGCTGCCGCGGTCTGCCAGCGGGATGAGTACAGGTGTGGTCATTTTGTCAGTGCCATCATGAATGATGCGTGGCAAATCTGAAATCTGTCCTAACTAAAAGCCAATTAAATATCAAAATTGTGCACTCAGAGACTCTTTGGTATACATCATGTACATGTACATGTGCATGTTGCAGTGCAAACTGCACTATGGAAAACCAATACTAGCCATGTACATGTCATGTACATTGTGCATGTCAATTTAGCTCACTGATGACCATGGTTCTGAATCTTCTGATGTTCTGCATGTAATCTACATGTACATGTACACACATGACATTGTACATTGCATGCAGCCGACTTTCCAAAGTTCCGTTACTCCTTGAACATCTGGTAATATGGAGAGAATCAGTATCGGATGAAAGCATCATGAAACCCAGACAGAGAGTCTTCAGTCGAAGACATACACTGAGAGACGCCAAGATGAGACGGTCTGCGAACGGAAAGAGCCATACCAGTAATAGTATTACATTATGGCGGTGATATGACCGCACTACTTTCCTGCCAACGTGCAAACTGTTACATGACTGTACATTGTACATTGTACTTGAAAAGGGGACATCCCAACTATTGTAGGATATACAGTATGCTGTATCGATACAGCATACTGCTAGTGCTGTTCACTGTATCGATGCAGCATACTGTACTGTACTGTTCACTGTATCGATGCAGCATACTGCTAGTACTGTTCACTGTATCCATGGTAGACTCTACATTGTGGTACATCACTACATGTACAGTGTACGTGTACATGTACATGATTGTACATTTAATTTTGTACATGCAGCGATGACTGGTGTTGTTGTAGAAAACAACGACATGTTATACTTGAATTGGCACCGCCCTTATTATACATTTTGGTACGTCCAAAGTCCAGTCGGACGCGACTCACGCGAGTAGATTTGTAGTATCCACGCTACAAAGTCATTGTAGTTCTAGTAATAGTATTGCATTGTACACTGATGCAGTGTGAGCAACTCACATTGCACTGAACTCTTGGCTGTGTACAGTGTGTGGTGTGGATCTATCTACCCTTGATACAGTCATGGCATTTACATGACTGTATAAAATACAGTACATGTACATGTATAAACATTGGGAAACGGTCCTGTCA